CAGTATGTTTATTAATGGTAAAAGTGGATAAATGCAGGATGCTGTTGATAGTCTAGAAATTATGATACAAAATTTGAGTAAGAAAATAAGCAAAATTAAAGGGAATTAGAATATACATACAAAAAAAAGTCTAAAAGATCATGAAAATAATCTGTAAAATAGATCGAGACGATGAATTGAGAGATTAGGTTGGAATCAAGAAGGTGGAGGATAGGGGTGGGAGGTTTAACGTCTGCCTGTTCAGGTAGACAACAAAGATACTTTGGTGCTATTCTCCTGGTGTTCTGGTCACCAATCCACCAAATAAAATTTTGTTTCCAATAATAAATCTGGCAAAATTACAATAAGATTGATATTCAGCTTTTTATTCTTGACAAAGCAAGGAAGCAACTGTAACAGTCGTACATTTTCTAGAAGATGGAGAAAAAGAATAAAAGCAAAATCGGGAAATAAGAGACAATTAAATTTGGATGATACCTCAATCTCTGGCAGCATCAACCTCCATGGTTGCACACTACAACTCACCGCCAGTCAGGAACCTCGGTGTCTTGTTTGACCCTCAACTGACTTTTCTCCCACACATCCAAGCCATGACCCGCTCTACCTTCCCTCAGCTCCGTAACATCGCCCGACTCCGCCACTCCCTCACCCCTCAGGCCACTGAAACTCTTGTTCATGCCTTCATCACCTCCAGGCTCGACTATGCAAACGCCCTGCGTGTCGGCCTTCCCAACTCCTCCCTCCACAGCTGCAGATAATCCAGAACTCTGCCGCCCGTGTCCTCTCCCGCACCAAACTCCGTGACCCCATCTCCCCCACTCTCGCCCGACTCCATTGGCTCCCTATCCTTCAGAGGATCCAGTTCAAGATCCTGGTCCTCACCTACAAAGCCCTCCACGGCCTCGCCCCACCCTACCTCTGCCACCTCCTAACCCCCTACCAACCCGCCCGCTCCCTCCGCTCAGCCGGCTCTGGCTGCTCCACGTCCCCCGACCCACCCGCCCCACCATTGGCGGGAGAGCCTTCAGCCACTCTGCCCCCAACCTCTGGAACTCCATCCCCCAGTCACTCCGCCTCGCCCCCTCCTTAGCCTCCTTCAAGTCCCGCCTCAAGACCCTCCTCTTTGACCACGCCATCGGCCACCCCCCTTCCCCTCCCCTCCCTTCAGCCCCCGACCTCAGCTCGGGTCTGAAATGCTGTACTCTGTCCAGCACCTTGGGACATCCTCCCGACGTGAAAGGTGCTATACAAATGTAATCTTATTGTTGTTGTTGTTGTATATGACTAAACCAGGATGCGTCCACAGACGTAGAGCAGTAAAACTTTCTGTAGAGAAAAGCAATCCTAGAAAAAACACTAATTTTAATATGGTCCTCAGCATTAACAATGGCTGCGTATCATTTGAGAAGGAATGACTGAGATATTTACAGCACCCGACAAAATGTACCAAAATGCAGAATTTAAACATTAAATAAGACGAGGATCTTGGCAGCAATCCGTAAAAAGTAGAAGTTAAGACAATTCCGTTTGTACCAAAGATTCAGCTCAACCAGAGACGAGTTCAAACTGCTGCTGAAAACTAAAAGTATGAAGATGGAACCAGGAAAAATGATCAACATAAATCAAAATTCAAACTAGAAAATATTGTTCAAGAACGTTAAAAAACACAAATGGAATACACATATGGAGTATTGCTGCGGAAGAAAACAATAACAATGAACGTTTACCATGTCTTCGCAATGTCTCAAAGTGCTTCACAGAATATACTGTAAAGTGTAGTGACTGTATATTTTGTGGGCGAAACGTGACAGCCAATTGCATACAGCAGCGTCCCACAAACAGTCGTGGAGTGAGTGACCAATTTAAACAACAGGTGCCTGATATGAATGCAGCCTTGGTAGGCAGCAAACATCTAAGGACATCAGCTCCACAAGGACATCACCCTCGGTTATACTGGTAGGTGTGTTCTCAGTGGACCTTGTGGCTGAAGTACGGTGATAGACTGCACGTTTACTGTAGAAACAGCTTTTTTTATTAAGGCAGCAGATTTACACAATCTTTAAGGCAAGGTTTACACAAAAGCAAGTGGGTCTGAAATAAATTAACAAACATAAATTATAAATTTTCCTCAAGCTACTCCAATTTAACAAAATTGAAACTGTATTTTTTTCGTGTAAACCTTTCGGTCAATTCATGTGCTCATTGATGTGAAGAAATGGAACTGGAGTACTGCCTGGGTCAGCCTCAAGCACTCCCGGGTAAGATACAGCCGCACCACAGAGCAAAACTGATAATATTCTTAAACCCGAACCTCTGAACAACTTCCTCCACTACATCAGAATACTGATTCATTTTGTGCCCCATTCATTCTTGCTCTTTTTTGCCTGAGATTGCCAGGTGACTGCAATAATAACAGGAATGGATTGGATGTGCACAAACACGTTTCACATAAGCCTTTCATAGTGGAGGCAGAGATTGTTGAAGTAATAGAGAGAATGGAGCTTTCTGAGATAGAGTTGGTGAGAATTACAGTATTGTGCGAAGGGTGAGTTTTTTTCACAATGTACATCTGCTGTAAAAAAAAATACAATATGCCGCTTTGGAAACTGGGATCTGAATTGTTTGTAAGGTATTATCACAGTTAAATAGATTAACAACAGATATTGTAGTTTTTTAAACAAAAAATGTATGCATAAACTGCAATTCTCCCATAAAAATAGATGAAACAATCTTTGGAGAAACAAACCCATCTGAACAAAGACCAAAGAATTTATGACTTTATTACTGGAAAATCTCAGTACGAGTTAAATAATAATTCTTGTATTCAATATAGTACTTTGTTACAGTCTTAAAACATAATAATCCCTCCAAAACAAAAAATTGGTCATTTTCAATCCATGACTGTTTGTGGGGACACTGCTCTGCGCAATTGGCTGCTGCGTTTCGCCCACAAATATAGTCAATTCACTTTACAGCATATTCTGTGAAGCGCTTTGAGACATCTGGAAGACATGAAAAGTGCTATATCAAATGCGAAGATTATTATTATTATTAAAATGTCACAGGATTTTACAGAGGTGTAGTGACTGTGTTTTTGCAGGCAAACGTGGCAGCTAATTTGCACGCAACAATGTCCCACAAACAGCCATGGAGAATCTGGAGAATTGTTGGGCTGAAGAAACTCCCTTCTCTTGTAGAATTAACCTTTACTCAGAAGTAATTAACACCTGGAAGAGGTCGCCAGGAAGGGTGGTTGAGGCTGGACTTGCTGGTGTGCGGGAGGGAGAGGCGGTGGTTATTTTGGGTGGAGATGTGTTGAAGGGTCTTCTTCATCCAAACCAACCATATGATCTTGTGAACCACGTAGTTCTCTTTTCAGAACTGAAATGTCTAACAGCTCAACAGCTACCTCTGTTGATCTTACGACTGAATACGGTATAGTTTCATAGCCCTGGTTTCCTCAGCAATAATAACAGTCATAAATAATCCTTGCGTTTGATATAGCGCTTTTCACGTCTTCTCGACGTCTCAAAGCGCTTCACAGAATAGACTGTAAAGTGAATTGACTGTATATTTGTGGGCGAAATTCACCATCTGTCTGATGTGTCGACAGGTGTCGAAGAGTTGGACCTGTCATAGGTTTTGTCAAATGACTGTATTATGGTATTAGAGGAGAGGATTATTATGATTTTGCTCACAGATCAGTCAGTGCAAAGGCCGGAACTGCTCCAGGAACAGAGTCTTATTGTTAGAAAATCCAAAGCTTCTGATTTCATTTTAATAACTGTCACTGAGGGGAAAAAATGCTCACGTTAGCAGATAGTTATACTAACAGATAGTTATACTAACAGACAGTTATACTAAAGATAGTTATACTAACAGATAGTTATACTAACAGATAGTTATACTAAAGATAGTTATACTAACAGATAGTTATACTAAAGATAGTTATACTAACAGATAGTTATACTAACAGATAGTTATACTAACAGATAGTTATACTAACAGATAGTTATACTAAAGATAGTTATACTAACAGATAGTTATACTAAAGATAGTTATACTAAAGATAGTTATACTAACAGATAGTTATACTAAAGATAGTTATACTAACAGATAGTTATACTAACAGATAGTTATACTAAAGATAGTTATACTAAAGATAGTTATACTAACAGATAGTTATACTAACAGATAGTTATCAGACAGTTTATCTGAAAATTAAGCAAATTAGTTGCTGTTATCAAGACAATAGATTCCCTGTCTTGTTTTGGTTAAATCCCTAAATAAACAAATACATAAACAAATAAATAAATAGTGGATAGAAAGACATTTAATAATAATAATAATAATAAGTACTAATGGCAGTCTCTGGTGCAGGACCTCGTGCCATCGACAACATCTCAAGGCGCTTCATGGGCTGTTCCTGTAAAGTACAATATAATATATATCTTATCCCTGAGGGGGTGACGGCGGACACCGGGAGCGCCTCGGGACGTCCTCCCGACCCTGAAGCCGTTGGAAACCGTTACCGTGTGTTTTCAAACCCGCTCCTTGTCACCCGCTCGCGGGCGCCCCCATCGCCTCCTCTCCGATCAGCAGCAGGAACGCCCACCCGTCACTCCCACCCCTCGGCACGTGATCAGAGTCTCTCTCCCTCCCGACTCCCCCCCCTCAACCCTTCCGTCACCTGATCAAAGTCTCGCGCTACCTGGGCACGGGATCAGTCCTCTTGCCTCCTTGACACCCTGAGCGCGTGATCAGAGCCTCCCAACGTAGGCACCTCCCCTCCAGACACGTGATCAGAGCCTCCCAACGTAGGCACCTCCCCTCCAGACACGTGATCAGAGCCTCCCAACGTAGGCACCGCCCCCCAGACACGTGATCAGAGTCTCCCAACGTAGGCACCGCCCCCCCCGACACGTGATCAGAGCCTTCCACCGTAGGCCCCCCCCCGACACGTGATCAGAGCCCACCTCCTGCGCAGCTTCCTATTGACGTGTGAGGCGGCCGCCGCGCAGCCGCAGTGCTGGTGTGAGGCGCTCTTGTGGGGACGTGGCCTGAGCTTCTGGCAGTGAGGAAACCGACATCAGGTAAACGCTGAGGGCGCCGCTCCTGCCGCGGGGATTGGGAGGGCAGTGGGGGAGAGAGAGGGGGGGAATGGTCACTCAGTCACTGAAAGGAAATGATTCTTTTGTGGGTGTTTTAAAGCGACTCCGGGAAAACATTGGTGAAGGGACCAAAGCCACTGACTGACTGTCTGCTGTGCACAGGTCAGTTTCAGGAGCTTTAGACAATGGTAACCAGGTGAGAGGTATTCATCATAATAACAATAACAATAATAATAATAATAATAATCATTGCATCTCTGATATAGCGCTTTTCACGTCCTTGAGACGTCTCATATATTATAGTGAGTGGTGTATGGGGGAGGGGGAGATACGCTGATTTCTCCTATTCCCCCCCACCCCCCCCCCCCCCCCCACACACACACACACCATCTCCAGAGGAATCCAACATAAGGGAATATGGTCTTAAAATTAGAACCAAACTGCTTCATCCAGAGAATAGTGAAAGGGCATTTTTCTTTAGATCAGTTGGAAGTCCAGTACAATCCGCATAAGTCGGATCTGCGTATATTGTATAATCGCTGAAGTCATTTAAGTGCTCCCAAGATGCCATCCAGCGTGAAGGCACAATCTACATGCAGTTTAATATTGCAGTGCCCAAACCACACTCATGATCAGCAATCAGATATTCAACAGGGAGACGGATAAAATAAGTTGGAAAGCGAGGTTATCAATGGATCCGGATCAAAGATGCGGCAAAGGGGTGCAATAGATTTGCCTGATTTAATAAAACGATTGAACACATTAAATGGCCTCTTGTTCCAATGTTACCCAAAATTGAGGAAAATTATGTATTCAATTAAGACAAAAATGTGGTAATTTTAAATTGAATTACAGTGGTAGTACATTGAATCCATGGTGAAAGTCTACAGTGGTGAAAAACATTGGAACTGGAACGTATAAATTCAATTTCTCATTTAAAATCATTACTGATGAAAGAGCTCCAGAATATATAAATATATATGTTTGAAAAGGGATACTCTATTGTTAACATTGAGGTTGTAGTCTCTTGGCTTGCTCACCGTTCAATGAAGTGCTGAGTTTATTTCTCTTGGTTCCTCTATCTGAGGAGCCTTGAGAGTAGATTATTCACTATCTGTATAATACTGTACCCCATTAACGGTACCTCATCCATAAGAGATAATGCCATTATTGAAACCACCATTATCAATTTAGGAAACTGTTAACAGGGCTATGGTCTGTTTGCAAATTTGTATTGTGTTTCTGCTTTTGCTATGCATTGTGAAATGTATTTTTAATCTTGAGATTGTCAGTCAGACCACTGGATACAATACAAATGGTAATCCTGAGGGCTACTGGGTAAATGTGTACTTTGAAAATTAATATCTTTGCAGGAACACCAATATTATATTCTTCCATAATTTCATTAGAATTATAAATGTGGTAATTATCTTATTTCTCTTACAGGATGATCACAGACGTCCAATTAGCAATCTTCGCCAACATGCTAGGAGTATCCCTTTTCCTGCTTGTTGTGCTGTACCACTACGTTGCTGTCAATAATCCCAAGAAAATGGAATAATGGATTAGACTAGGTCTATAACAGTCTGATGGGTAAGGAAATACATTTGTGTAGTGTAAAGATGTGAACTTTGCCTGGAGAATTTATGTACAGTGGAGTCCTGTAGCTCAGTGGTTAGAGCACTCGCTTTGATTGCGAGAGACCTGGGTTCGATTCCCGGCAGGGTGAAACCTTGGGCAAGTTTCTTTATTCCACACGCTTGATAATAATCCCTCAAACAAAAATTGGTCATTTCAATCCACGATTGTTTGTGGGACACTGCTGTGCGCAATTGGCTGCCGCATTTTGCCCACAAATATACAGTCAATTCACTTTACAGTCTATTCTGTGAAGCGCTTTGAGACGTCGAGAAGACATGAAAAGCACTATATCAAATGCAAGGATTATTATTATGTAAATTTATGTAGGAATATATGACATTTATTACCAATTTTAAATATGTGGTGACATTTTTAATGTTGTACCATAAATCTTCAGCTGAAGGATCAACACCTCCTGTGATTTACTGGTAGTTTTATGCTTTATTTTACAGATTGAAGATTGGGACCAATGAACAGTGGAATTGTATGAAGGATTGGAGCGAGAATGATTGATGCTGCACAGTGCAGATTAGACTTTAGAAGACTGCAGTACACTACAAGAACTACATTAAATGCTCCTTGTCCTGATAACTGTTTGTGAATAAATCTGTACAATAATTTGTTTAAAAATAAAAGTCATACTTGTTATTTTGAAATTCCCTGCGTAATAAAATATCTATAGTAATAATTAATTGTAACCTGGAGCAGGAGAATGGACACTTGCTGTCTGTAATCAAACAGATGGAAAAATAATTTCAGATTTCCAGCATCTGCAGTATTTTGCTTTTTGGAAAAGTAGTTTGCTGGAAGATACAGCTCAAGGATCAAGAGAGTTGCATGCCTCATAGTGTGACACAATCAATTATTTTTATATTCTCTGGCTATCCTATTTATTAAAACATTCAGTAGCATACGATATTACAGGGCTTTGGATAACTCACACTATAATAGCATATTCTGGATGACATAATATGAACATAGGCCACTGCTAAGTAGATTATATTTGTGGGTTAATCTTAACACAACTACGTTATCAATAAATTATGTGCTGCTGAAGCTATCATAAAAGCTGTGATTCCTTTTGTGCTCTTCAGAATGGCACTGACATAAAGTCCTAATGATTGTAGTGTTTAGCAAGTTAGTCGCAACTATGAATAATCTTAAAGTTTAAGTTCAATCTTTCAAGTTAATATTTGTTTAATCAAAATTACTAGTTTGTTTTGATTATCTTTCCTGTCCTCAACAGCATCAAAGCAAACCACAACAGCTGCAGGAATGCAGGTGAGGCCTCCTAATGTTGATTAGTTAGATGTTGATAAGTGAGCAACAGTAACCCAGAAACTATTTTTGTTAGGAATAAATGATAAAAATTATTAATGTGTGCCACATATTCTGAGTTTGAATACGTTGGTATTAAAAACACCTTGAATTCCTTGATCTTTTACCCCAGTTCTCAACAATACCTCACTCCATTTAAAACACTCTTAAGCACAAGAAATTGCCAATGTTTGCTTTGGAAGTGTTCAATTCAGCCAGTTTGACATAATTGCCCCTTAATTTGTTGTTTATGTCGCCATCTCGACACTGATCAGGTGCTATATCAAATGCAAGGATTATTTTATTTAAATCGGGCATCAAAGGTTAAGTGAATGAGATACAGTTAGTCAGATTTCTTTCTATAGGTGCTGTAAACGTTGCTTGAGAAATGTGGTAATGACCCCGCTGTGTTTAATAATAATAATAATAATAATAATAATCCTTGCATTTGATGCAGCGTTTTTCACGTCGGGAGGACGTCCCAAAGCGCTTCACAGAACACACTGTAAAGTGAATTGACTGTATATTTTGTGGGTGAAACGCGGCAGCCAATTGCGCACAGCAATGTCCCACAAACAGTGTGGATTGAAATGACCAAATTATCTTTTTGGAGGATTATTATTACCCTGGGATAAGCGAGGTTTCGCCCGCCAATTGAACTAGTCCATTGGCGAGGCTAACACTGTTAGGTTCCCTGGTAATAATAATACTCTGTGTGTGCGTTTGTGTGTGGATTGATTTTTTCGAGACATCTCAAAGCACTTCACACTTTATACTTTACGATATACTGTAAAGTGTGTGTGTATTTGTGGGTGGCGGAGTGGCGTCCCCACAAACAGTTGTGGTTGAGTGACTTTTTTTTTGGGGATTTTATTACCCCCGGAGGACCGGCCAATCTAACATGGGGGTACATGTGGGGGGGGTGGGTGTGTGTGTGGGTGTGTGTGTGGGGGGGGGTGTGTGTGTGTGGGGGAGTGTGTGTGTGTGTGGGGTGGGTGTGGGGTGGGGGTGTGGGGGGGAGTGTGTGTATGGGGGAGTGGGTGTGTGGGGGAGTGGGTATGTGTGTGTGGGTGTGTGGGTGTGTGGGGGGGAACTCGCCTGAGGTTTGGCCACAGCAGGGAATCGCAATCTGTTGGGCTGATACTGTAAAGAGAGAGAGAGCGAGTGATACTGTGCCCCCCCCCCCCGGGGGCTGTTGTGGGGGGTGTGGGGGGGGGTCACACACACACTGAGGGACAGCGGCGGCGGCTGTTGTTTTCGGGGCGGGAGTGACGGGAGGGGCGGGGCCGCTCGAACAGCCAATCAGAAGTTGTTTTGAATGTGGGTGCGGCTGCCGCCCGTCCAATGGTTTGCGGCGTCAGGAATCTCCATGGCGACGGGATGAGCGCGGCCCGGCCCACAGGACAGCCCGGGGGGGGGGGGGGGTCCGCCCCGCGCTGGTTGGTCGGCGGCAGCTGCTGACTCGGGAAGTGTTGGGACCGCAGGAATGGAGTTAAATCTGAACCGTGTGGATTACCTGCAGGTGAGGCCGGGGCTCGGGGGGGGCTGGGCCGGGGGGTGGGGGCTGCAGTCACAGTATAAACACAGGGCCACAGCAGCCTGTCTGGGGGCAGAGGCTTCACTAACATTAATAGCCACCATCCCCGCTGTTAGACCGCGCGCCTGATCACCTCTCAAAGGTGCAGAGAGACCATTCATTTTGCGGGTGGAATGGGGCAGCAACACCGAGTCCTGTAGCGCAGGGGTTAGAGCACTCGCTTTGTGAGTGAGACACCGGGTCCAATCCCCGGGGGGTCAGTCAGGGCGAGACCTCGGGCAGTGTCCTCACTCCACACACAGAGCCTAATAATATTCCCTCCAAAACCAAAACAATAATAAATTGGTCATTTTCAATCTACGACTGTTTGTGGGACATTGCTGTGCGCAATCGGCTGCCGCGTTCGCCCACAAATATACAGTCGATTCACTTTACAGTGTGTTCTGTGAAGCGCTTTGGGACGTCGAGAAGACGTGAAAAGCGCTATATCAAATGCAAGGATTGTTATATATAAAACACACCCCACAGCAACACAGCAACACACCCCACAGCAACACTCCACAACCAGCCACCGAGTAAATGACCAGTTTTATTTGGGGAATGGTTGACCAGGACACTCTTCTCTCTTCAAACAGTGTCACGCGATCTTTAATGTCCACCTCGGTTTTGCTGTCTCACCTGAATGGCTGCACCTCCGACAATACAACACTAACACGGATCAGTTTATTACGATTATTCAGTAACTACTCTGCTTTATTGTTATCGCAGGTGGGAGTGACTTCCCAAAAGACCATGAGGCTGCTGCCTGCATCTGGAAAGAGAGCAACCCAAAAGGTTCATTTCTGTTCTGTAGTTCTGTTTTGAGGAATAATGATAATAATAGTAATAATGGTAGATTATAAGAATGGTAGATTTCTTCAGGAATGAAGTAGAATGTTTGAGTTCTTAGCGGAGATATAAAGCAAGTGTTTATATTTTGATAGCATCGGAATGTTAATTGCAGATTTGGGATACAAAGTCAACCATAAAAAAGCATATCATGTGACCTTTGAAAAAGCCATTAGTCCACTGGAAATGAGTGCAATTCAAGTCAATGTGGATGTAAGTGTAGAAGAAGGAGACAGAATCTTGGCTTGATACTGTACATCTACCTTAGTATGGATCTATTTGCTGTATGTTTGTGCCTCTTTGAGCTCGAAACCTCTATTATCAAGCTAAGATTTTTATGTCAGCAATTCTGCATTTTACTAAATGGCACAGTCTGATTTTTAAAAAAAAACTTTTATTGAAATATCTTTCAATTGTACAGTCTTTTAAATGTTGTTTTTATTCTTGAACGTTTAGGTTGTCATTGCAGATCATGATGGAGTGATTTTCTGTTTCGGGATGAAAAGGGGAGAAGCAGTGGTAAGCATTGTTTTCAGTTTGTTGCTTACATAGAGAACCTTCAATGTAATGATTGGAGAATAGCCATGCATAGACTGACTAGATAATCAGGAATATTTTGCATCCTGGGCCTTATTTCATACTTTGCTGATTTGGGATTATTTGCCAGAAATTTCGCAAACTGACATTTGAAAACTGTCCATCACAAAGAGTCACGTTAATGCAACAAATTTGATATGTCCCGTGTTTACTTTGTGGTTAATATACAACAACAACAACAAGATTCCATTTATAGAGCGCCTTTCATGTCGGGAGGACGTCCCAAGGCGCTGTACAGTTGGGTTAGGACCCGAGCAGAGGGGAAATGGTCAGGGTGAGGGGAGGGAAGGAGGGAGCGAGGAGGGGGTAGAGAGTCGAGAGGGGAGCTGAAGGCACGGTCAAAGAGAAAGGTCTTGAGACTGACCTTGAAGGAGGAAAGGGAGGAAGTGAAGGTGAAGGCACTGGGGGATGGAGTTCCAGAGCCTCGGGGCTGAGAGGCTGAAGGCCACCGATGGTAGGGCGGTTGGGGCGGGAGATGTGGAGCAGACCGGAGCCAGAGGAACGGAGGGTACGGGCAGGTAGGTAGGCGGATAGTAGGTCAGAGAGGTAGGAGGGAGTGAGGCCGTGAATGGCCTTGTAGGTGAGGATGAGGATCTTGAATTTGATCCTCTGGGGGATGGGGAGCCAGTGGAGGCGAGCGAGGGTGAGGGTGAGGGTGAGGGTGGGAGTGAGGGTGAGGGTGGGAGTGATGTGGTTGCGGTGTCTGGTGCGGGACGGTACACGAGCTGCATGGTTCTGGATGACCGGCAGTGTGGAGGGAGGGCCGGGAAGGCCGGCGAGGAGAGAGATCCCATAGTCCATCCTTGAGGTGATAAAGGCGTGGACCAGAGTTTCAGCCGCGTGAGGGGTGAGGTAGTGCCGTAGTCTGGCGATGTTCCGGATTTAGTATTTCTAATAACAATAACAACATGTATTTACATTGTGCGGGTTATCGTCTTCGAGCACTTAACAGTGGCGGAGCTTGACACCGAGTCGGGAGAGGAGGGAGGTGAAACCTGATTTATGACATTGGCTGGAGCAGATAACTCTGGGAACTCCAGTGAGCTTCGCACACTCTGTTAGTTTCATATTATTATTATAGGGATGTCTTGCATCCAGCTCATCACTAATATTAAGCAGTAACATTACCTAACAATAAGTAGGAACCTGGTCGTTAGTTGCTTTTCCAGGGATAATAATCCCTCAAATAAAAATAATTATTTGGTCACTCAATCCATGCCTGTTTGTGGGACACTGCTGTGTGCAATTGGCTACCGCGTTTCACCCACAAAATATACAGTCAATTCCCTTTACAGTCTATTCTGTGAAGCGCTTTGAGACGTCTCAAAGACGTGAAAACCGCTACATCAAATACAAGGATTATTATTGTTGTTATATTTGAAGCAATTTAGTTTTCTTTCCATCAGAATGAACTCAGCGCTAAAATTGCGTGCAAGTTATTTGGTCCAAATTGTATTTTTTTTAAAAAAAGTTAATAATCAGTGATTTTAAATATTGTCTTGTGATCTTGTTATTCATTAAAGGAAGGGGAGGAAAGTACTATATGTACAAAATTCGTGATTTGTGAGTTTAATTTGTGAGTTTAATTGTACACAGCCAGTATTCAAGACCTTACCAGGACAAAAGGTGTCTAGATTGGAGCTCGGAGGAGCGATTGGTACACCACAAGAGAAAATCTTCATCGCCACTGGGTCAGAAGTCCGAGGTTTTACAAAGAAGGGAAAGCAGTTCCTGTCATTTGAAACTAATCTCACCGAAAGCATTCGAGCTATGTAAGTGAATTGCATCTGCTTGATTGGATTTGGAAATGAAGTTTCCTCCCTCAGGTTCACTCCAATAGATTCTCTCTGAAATAACCATATTTTTATCTATGCAGTAACAGAAACAGCTTAGATATATATAAAGCCATTCACATGGGTAGCATCTTAGAGCGCTTAAAGACTCAGAGTGCAGTAGTCCTCCTTTTCCCACCCCTCCTAATCTTAATTCCCAGCTCAGGTCCAAATCCCCGACTGTCCAGCGCCTTGGGACATCCTCTCGAAGTGAAAAGAGCTACAAATGTAATTTGTTGTTGTTGTTCTTGTTTTTCCGCCCCCAGTGATTACTCTTCGGATTTTGTTCCTGAAGACACTGACACATGCTTGTGTATAGTGCCTCAGGCGGTAGCTTGCTTTAACCTCGAGAAGGGAGGACTTTCTAACAAGGATAGAAATCAGAAGTTGGAAACTGGCTAATTTTCTCCCACCTTCTTTTCCTAGCCCATGGGCACGGAGGCCAATTTTAGTCCTCCTACTGCTTAGCTGAAATGGTATAACTGCAAACCTACATTCTTCCACAACTGATTCGCTTAGTTGTATGTTGCACAACAGCCTTATCAACAGCCATTGGGAGAGCTTCTGGAAATCATTTTTAACAAATAATTATTTCCATTGCTAACAAAACCATTCATATGTACAGAAATAAACATATCAGATTTAGGTTATATAGACATGAATTATTCACTATCTACTATTCCTTACAGGCATGTGTCTGGGCCAGACCTTTTCTTGTGTGCAAGTTATATCTATAATCATTACTGCGACTGCAAGGATCAAGACTATTACCTTTCTAGTGATAAGATCAATGATATTACCTGCCTTCCGATTGAAAAATTGGGCCGCATCACACCAATATTGGCCTGCAAAGACCGAGTTCTTCGGGTTTTGGAGGTATTACAACAGATACATATCAAGTTATTTGTTAAATTTGTTTCAGTATCAACTTCTGTTTCTGTGCTGATGTTAATACACCGTTATACAGCAGTGGTGGCTAACCAAATACATTTTTCTTGATTGAATATTTCTTAATTTATGACCACACCTTAAATATCACTACTCATTAGCTACTGGAAACAAAATATTGATTTAACACAGACTTACCTAGACTAGTGCGAATGTTCAGTGTGCTACTTCTTGACGTTGTGGGTTCTACAGAGAATATATGAGCATGACAAAAGTGGTACATGAAAAATAAAACTTGTGTGAAAAACAACAGTTTGGCAACTGTAATTAATATCTCACCCAAACTCAAAAACTAGTAAATATGACCACTGTTTCAAAATGGCAGTGTCCATGAATAGATAACTTCTTTGATTACATACACTGTCCAATCCTCCCACAGATTCTTTGCTTTCATGGTAGTAACTCTGCTTTACTATACTTTTACTAGACTCGCACTTTAATTTGTTCTCATTTTCAAAACATTCCATTTCATTGAATTCTGGAAATTAAACTTGTGTCGAAAACTTCTGTAATGGTTTCTTGCTATGGTTTCATTTTTGAAAGTACTGTATTTATTGTATCTTACCAGGGATCAAACTTGTTGTATGAATTTGAGGTATCTGGAGAACCTACTGTCCTGGCATTACACAATGGAAATGGAGGTAACTGTAGTGCAAAATCTGTATGTTATAAACAACAACAACTTTCATTTATATAGCGCCCCTTAATGTAGGGTAGTGTCTCAGACATTTGTCTTTTACTGTCCATAATTCCTAGATTGAAAAGTGTTTGAACAGCATGAATTGTGGAAAAAGTGCTTGTGACTGAAGAGATCTCAGAATGGACCCAAAGTCTCACAGTACAGGGATTTCCCTACAATAAAACTTAGTTTATAGTGTGGATATTTTTCCCTGCAGTTTCGTGGCAGTTATCTTTTTTTTTATCCATCTAAAATACTTTGATACTTAGTACAGGAGCATCAATGAGTACTCAGAACTGCTAACTCTTCCTGTACTTTTATTACCATTTTTGCTTCAATTATTGTGTCTGAAATCAATCATTAATTTCTTCATGTTTGAATTATGAGAAATTGGATTGGTGTCAGTATGTCAGAAGGTTAATTTAACTCAATAAAATTAACATTGGTTGTACCTACACCTTTATTTTTCAGAGCTTTCAGACATCTTCCCAACATGAAAGGTGCTATCTAAGTGTAAAATGTATTGTATACTGAAGGCATTTTTCTTTGACATACTCAGTTTTCTTTGTAACTGTAGAAATGCGCAAATAATGCTCCTTTTGGAAGTCCTGCACCACATGTCAATGTGTAACTTTCTGTTTACAGGGAACTCAGGAGAAGAGATTATATATGGAACATCGGATGGGAAGTTAGGATTGGTCCAAATCACAGGAAATTCTCCAGTCCATCTTTGGGAGATGCTTAATGAAAAAAAGAGAGGGGGTACGTAAGGTTTTAACATTTTCATTTCTGAAACATTGGTTTGAGATGCTTTATGGTTGAGTTTGCCTGGAACATTTATTTGGAGAGAAAAAATAATTTTATGGAACCATAGTTCCAGGGGCACTGCACTTAACCATAATAGTCCTGTGGGAGCTCCCCTGACTTGCACTCTTTGCAGTGGCATTAAACAATGGGAATGGGCTGAGTAATGAGAGATTATTGTTGTGATTTCTCTTACAATTTGGAAGCTAAATGAGCAGGTTAGCTTTGCCTCATCACTCCTGGAGGTGCAAATTATACGGATATTAAGTGAGGATTGGATATAGCTGCTAAGGCTCATCATCTGAAGTCACACACTAGGGTGAGGTACCAGAGGATAGATGGCATCTGTGTTACCGTATTTTGGCATCAGTCAGTGCCTTCAGTAGAAGGGGGAAAAAACAACCTAATGGATAGTTGAGCGAATGTTTTAAACTTCAGATGACTTCCTGGGAGGACTTTTAAAACTGCAGTTTAATTGTTAAGTTTGCAGTGGTTCAATGTGAAAAATCATAGCAAATTAATGCAAATTTCATAATGTAACTATTAATAAATAAGTGGCATTGAATGCAGAAATTAAACTTTTTTTTGTGGACTACAGGTATTCTGTGTATCGACTATTTTGACATTTTAGGGGATGGAGTCAAAGAGCTACTTGTTGGCCGAGATGATGGAATGGTGGAAATTTATGCATTTGATGCTAACAATGAGCCTGGTCTTCGGTTTGAACACGTAAGTTTTCCTTCCACTGGACAAATATTTCATTATGTTCCTGCATACAGAGCTCACATCTGACTTATGTAGACTCCTTTATGATTAGAGATTTGTGTTTGTTAGTCTAGAGATATAATTGAGCTGGTGGAAATTCTACATTTTTATGTTTAGTGCTGTAACATTGTCCTGAGTTTTGGTACTTTTTATATTGACTATATACTAATAGTCTAATCAGATGTTGAGTATTTTTAAATATAACCACCATTGTGTAAGTGCACAAACATGCTCTGCTTTGGAGTACCAGGAAACAACATCTTTCCTCACTGTTCTCAACCTTTTGATCTTCTGATCTCAGAGGCCATTGCTAAGAATGCACTGAATACTTTTCATTAGTGTTATAATGAAATAATAAAGTGAACTTTTCATTATGTCGATAAGTTATAATATATTATAATACAGGTGGTATTAAAGATCCCAGGCTAAACATCTTCATTTTATTAAAGAACAGGAGAAAACTGGGAATACACTTTTACATCTTGCTGGGGGAGTGGTAACCAAATGAGAATAACATCAAATGTAAGGAGAATACAACTTCCATGTCCACTCGAGGAATAAATAGCTGCATGTCTAAGTAATTGTAATGGACTGAGCTGTATCTTTGTTTAACTTGCATCTCTATATTCTAGGCATTGTCTGAGAGCATCACTTCGATTCAAGGTGGCTGTTTTGGAAAGGAGGGATATGATGAGGTTTTGCTAGGCACTTATACAGGTATGAGAGGAAAAGAAAAGAAAATTCTGTTAAGATTCCATTGGTTTATATGCAGCCCTCTTTAGAGCCATTCTTTAATTAAATGAAAAATTTGTTGGGGTTCCCTTGTGATAAACTGGCACATAATAATCTTTTGTAGAGCAGTTCCATTTATCCTATAAATCATCCAAGGGGGGAAACCAAAGGAAGTCAATGTCATACCTATCTAATTGAGTCTGTCTACATGTTTAATGGTAATGGCATTTGCTCCTGGTTTGAAATGTTTAACATAATTTTAGTGACCGAGTTACTGCAGAAATTGGAAAAATTAAGTTGTTCTTGTCAGCCTTAAAGTAAAACCTACAATTGATGCATCTTATCTGAGTTATTCTGTCTTATTATCTCAGTTCCAAGATCAACAGTATCCGTGTGAAGATTTCCATCAGAAAGAGTGCAGTACTTTACTATTTTGTAGGTATAGATCAGGGTGGTCCAACTTTTTGGCTGCTGAGTGCTCGAGGTGTATCTGCGGGGGCCACTTAAACAATACTTTATCCTGATTGACCAGTACCATTTCAGGCACAGCCTGAGCCCCTGGTGTCTGTCTCCTGCTTGGCTCAGGCCCTGAGCGTCACCGGTATTTGCTCGTTGGACAATGAAGTTGGAAATGGTTCTTGGACCGGATGAAATCATTCCCCCGAGCCGGATGCGGCCCATGGGCTGCCGGTTGGACCACCCTGGTTGGCTGATGTGTGTTGAATTGATGCCCTTTTTATTTGTATGATGATTGTTTCATAGGTTGGGTGACTGGGCTTACCACAGAACCAATTCAGAAAGAGGTGGGTCCTGGGGATGAGGTGAAGATGAACCAGGAGATGCAAAACAAGGTCCTGAATCTGAGGTCTGAGATGATAGTTTGATTTTTACTTTGGGTTAGCTCTTTGGTTGTCTCCGGCTTCCTGCTTGTCCCTCGTCGCCTCCGTTCCACCATCTGTGTCCAGCCACAAGCCCCGAAATTCTGGAACACTCGCCCTCAAACCCTCTGCCTTGCCTCCTCCTTCCCCATCTTCAGGTCGAGCATGAAGACCTTCCTCTTCGAACGTGCCTATGGTCATGACCCCACCCCCCTGGCTCGGCATCAAGCTGAGCCACTGTCAAGCACTCTTGAGTCCGCTACCCTTCATGTGGGCTGCTGTATGAAAGCAAGCTGTTGTTAATTCTGGCGATATAAAAGTAAAAATGTTAGTTAGGAAGTTAGTATAATAAAAGCCTGAAGAGATCCAAGTCAGATCTATATAGAGGAACCTTTAATGAAATAGATCTTGTTGAACCATTTATGTAGTAACCAGTTCTGATATAGATTACATTCAGATTGTGCAACCCCTTTTTCTTACCTAGCTGAAATTGATCTGTACTCCTTCTGTTTCACAGAGCTGATTTGGAATAGCTCTAGTTTTGCCACGCCTGTTACACTTAAGGGGCCTGGATAAGATCTATCTCTATTTTGTAACTGTTTCATGTAAGGCTCACTGTAGGATCCTTGTCTTCCCTCATTACTTAGAGTGGAACTGGAGCAGTTACAAGGGAAGTTGCTTCAGGAGCGTGAGAAATACCAGCAATCGGCACAGTCCAGCGGTGCAGTTTCAGCAGTGCCCGTGTTCAGCGTAAATGATAAATTTGTTCTGAATCGTGATGATGCAAGCTATAGTCTCATCCTGGAAGTGCAAATGGCTATTGACAATGTGCTGCTCCAGGTAAGAGCTGCTGTGGACATGTTTGAGTGGGCCTTGGATCAGAAGAACATATTTATTTCTGTGGTTACCCAACTTCAATTGGACCAAGACCAGAGAGTTAGCTGCATGGGAGAGAGCAAGATCTGATGAGTTTATTCTGTCTTTCTGCACAGAGTGACATCCCTATTGACCTACTAGATGTTGACAAAACTTCTGCTGTGGTCAGTTTCAGTGGGTGTGATATAGAGGTAAGAAAATAAGATTTATTCAAAGTTCACTATAATAGTATTATTATTATTATTATTAATCAATGATCAATTAATTAATTGGAACAGTTGCTTTCCTAATTTCATCCTAGTCAGTGAATGGTAATTTTCATTATTAACATTGCTTACACTCCCTCCAATACTTCACCTTTCTGGCAGTCTGCAAATGAGGTGCACAGCAATATATTAAAAAAAGTAAAATTAGTAAAATATTAAAGTTCAAGAGGCTTTGGTCGTTCATGTGGAATGGTGTTTGACAGGGATATGTGTTTTATCCCTGCTGAATTGTAACAGTAAATTATGCTATTCACATTGATAAACTCTTTATTTAGTGATGGGTTTGCGTAGAGTGATTTTATAAAAATAATAATACTTGCATTTGATTTAGCACTTTTCATAATAACGGGACATTTCAAAGTGCTTCAGGATTTACTGTAAAGTGTAGTGACTATTATAAGTAAAAAATTTCTCACAAGAGAATTTTTTTGCATAGAATAGAAAAGTTCTCATAATCTATTGTGGAAGTATCAGCTCTGATAGAAATGCAGGTGGATAATAGCTGATTAGGCTCATAATTATAAAATGAGCCTATCACCCCAAACTCCCCAAAGCCTAGTAGATCGAATTCAAGATCCTCATCCTCACATTCAAATCCCTCCACACCCTCACCCCTTCCTTCCTCCGAGATCTCCTGCAACCCTATCGACCCAGCCATGCCCTTCGCTCAGCGAACATCAGCCTGCTTCATGTTGTCCGCCCTCTCTGCCCTATCATCGCATTTTCGATCATCTTTTTGCTTCCCTCCCCCCTTTTCAACTCTCCCTTCCATCCCCATGGCTTGGGTGTCTACCCATCTGTAAAAAGTGCTTCGAGACATCCTCCAGATGAGAAAGGCACGATATGAATATAAACTGCATTGTATTATTGTAATCTATATAAACACAGGTTAACATTCACAGAGCAGCAGTAGTTCCAGAACAAATATGGGTTGAGTTGAGATTGATGCTTTTCTTGGATCTTGAAGACAAATCCTAAACACTGATATTTTTTAGTAGGGCGAGATAGTGCACAGCAGTGCCTAGCTGTTGATAAATCCAGTATTCAGGACTGAAAGATGCTAAAGCTGATGTTTATACAGGGCTTCTCGTTGTGATCCAAACTCTCTTGCTTGTCGGCCTCCCCAACTCCTCCCTCCATAGGCTGTAGATTACCCAGAACTTCAAAGCCCTCCATGACCTTGCTCCCCCCACCTCTGCTCTTCCCCCACCCTCTGGATCTCCTTCCCGCAGGCCCTCCGCCTCGCCCCCTCCCTCGCCTCCTTCAAGACCAGTCTCAAGACCCTCCTCTTCGACTGTACCTTTGATCACCCTCCTTCCCTACCTGCCCTCCACCCTCCCCCCATCCTGACCTCCAGCTTGGGTCCAAAATACTGGTTGTCCAGCGCCTTGGGACATGAATGGCGCTATACAAATGTAATTTTGTTGTTGTCACTTTCCTTTAGTACTGGTGCACTTTTTGCTTTATTGTATTTGTCACAGCAGAATGGGAACTTTCTTCTCGCTACTTATCGATGCCAGGCCAACACCACCAGACTGGAGCTAAAGGTATGAAGATAATAATAATAATAAAGATGCCTTGTAAAGTTGAAAGTATATTTTACTTCCTCTACAGCAGCTTTAAAGATTTTTGGGCTTGTACTACTTTGTAGCAGTTATAACTTTGTAATTTCAGTGGCAGATGGCAACTTTAATTTGCCTTTCAGGAGTGTTTATTTTATTTTTTAAACAGATTCGCTCCATTGAAGGACAGTATGGAATACTACAAGCCTACATTACCCCTCGTCTCCAACCTAAAACCTGCCAGGTTCATCAGTATCAGATCAAACCATTGTCTCTTCACCAGAGGACACATTCGTTTGATCAAACCAGGTAGGGTAATAGAAGTGATGGGTCGGCCAGGCCCTTTTGACAATCTTCTCTACTGAGTGAATTTTCATTGCAGATCAGAGCAGCCTGGATATGGTGACAGATGTGGTCAATAGTTTGCTTTATAAACAACAGTATTTTAATTCATCTTATACTTCAACTTCAGATATCACAATGTGTTTTCTTGCGTAAGGATATTCAGACGTCTGCCAGTACTGAGTTTTCACATAAATACTTTCAAATTAGTTTTTTTTTCTTGTAGCCTAAAATTTGAAAGAAAAATCCTACTTGTGTGTGTACCTACATTATATATATATATAAATATGGCACTTGATTTTTGGCTTTTTGGGAATTTTCCGTCCTCTTCAGGCTATGTTCAGTAAGATAGACTATTTTATGCCTGCGGTTTAGTGAGTTTCTCCCACAAATATACAATAAATTCACTTTACAGTATATTCTTTGAAGCACCTTGGGATGTCCTCCTGATTTGAAAGGCGCTATACAAATGTAATTTTTGTTGAATTATCTGCCACAATTGGGACAGACCCGATTATAAATGAGCAAACAGTGTGGATAATCGGATATATTTGGAGGCCTACATGAAAGAGCTTGCCACAGACTAGTAACCTAGAGAATGTACTGCAGGTGTCTGGACAGATGATTTAATAGAGGATCTCTCAGTTGTTGAATGTTTGATTACTAATAAGTGTAGAGTTAGTCTGGTTTAGATAAGGATGCATCTGAACATATGCTTAAAATTTCATCTCACAAATAAAATTGGTGCAAATAATTTATTTTAGAAAATTAGCCAAAATTATCATGAGAAATATTTTTCTGATTGAGGGAGAAAATCACAAAGTAAGTACATTGTTTCCAGGAGAATGATTTGTGCTTCTCTTTCTTTCTCTCCTTTGCCTTAACATAGGCCAGTGAATACACTGACACTCACAGGTCAGTTCAGCTTTGCTGAAGTTCATTCCTGGGTTGTATTTTGCCTGCCTGAAGTACCAGATAAAGTTCCAGTCGGCGACAATGCCACATTTTACTTTCAGAACACCTTCTTGGATACCGAGTTGGAATGTTACTACAAGTAAGAGATAGTACTGCCCCAGATTACTGGCAAATAAGTGAGCTAAACTTGTTGGCATCATATAAATATTGCACCTTTTGTTTGTCTTTGTATAATATGCAACTCTTCCAACCCTTCCAGTCTTCGTCCCCCACTGCAGCCATCTGCTCTAAACCCATTCCCCTGCTCTGTTCCTGTATCATTTAATATTTTCCTCAAGTATTTATCTAATTCCCTTTCAAATGCTCTGATTCTGCTGCAGAATACTTTCTGTTCTGTCATTTTGGACAATAAATGTCGTAAATTGGTGTCAGTAGAATCATACAGCACAGAAGGAAGCCATTCAGCCCATCGTGCCTGTGCCAACTCTTTGAAAGAGCTATCCATTTAGTCGCACTCCCCCTCTCTTTCCCTGTGTAAAGTATTGTTTATTGGAAATGTTAATAAAGTTAACTTGGATTTCTTTTTGAAAGATTTCTTTTTGATAAATTCTTCTCTTTGAATTTCATTGATTTCAGAAAAGGTGAAGGATTGTTTAAGTCTGACAACATCTCCACTATTTCCATACTGAAGGATGTGTTAAGCAAAGAAGCAACAAAGAGAAAAATCAATCTCAACATTTCCTATGGTGAGAATCTCTTCAGATTCAATCTGTTGGGTCCTAGAGTTCAGTTATTTATATCATGTTAGTTTTGTAAATTTTACCTAATGTCATTCATGTATGCGTGTCTTTCTTAAAGAGATTAATGAGGAATCAGTAGGCCACACTTTAAAACTGATCCATCCCAAACTGGAATTTCAATTGCTGTTGGCCAAAAAAGTCCAGCTGATTGATGCTTTGAAGGTAAGTTACATGCCTGATGTAACAATCCAGTTGAGAAAAGCAAAATATAGTTTTCTGAAGGACACAACAACCTTTGTACAGTGTTCTGTTTTTCTTTATCTAACAGCGTGCGTGATACACATGTTCTAATGATGGAACAAAGTAGACTGAAGCTGTAGTACTACTGTACTGACATTCTGGGCAGGAATGATGGAGTCCTCCAAACATTGTTTCCCTGAGCCGGCGCTTCTCTTCCCTGAGTCTACGTGGAGGTGTCTGGTAGCAGAATTGTAAATGATAATTTAAGATCTAAAATACGATATTGGTTACAGGAGTATCTAATAGCTGCGCTGTGTCACAAACAGTGATTTCTGCTGGTAACCAGCAGCTTGTCACTCTGCCCCACTGGTACACCACTCCAATGTATTCTTCATCTATTTTCCTGAGTTTCACCTGTTTGGCTTGGTGTACTTGGTGTCGAACAACAAATTTAGTCTTTGCTTCTCACTATGTTGTTGGGACTAAAGGTTGAATAGCTAATCAGAAGGAGTTGCTATGCACTGTGTGGGGTGTCATTTTATTTGTATATATTGTAGGAACTGCGAGTGCATGAAGGGAATGTGGATTTCCTGATTCCTGAATACCGCAGTATTTTAGAGGAGGCAGATACCCTGCTGGAAGAATACAAGAAACAGCCTGCTCACCTGGAGAGATTGTATGGTAAGAATGTGAATACTGGGAATACCTGGAAAGCACACAATTTAAGATTGACCCCATTTATAACACATCCTGGGTTGCACCATTGACGGTATGCTGGAATCAGGTACACTTGTGGTTTCTCTCTGCACATGAATGCTAACACGCCAGAACTAACATTAAGTGGTTCTTGTGCAGAGCAAGCATGCACATTGCACAGGAGGTAATGGCAGCTCTGCTTACCATGCAAATGTACTTGAAGGGATATCAGCAGCAACATGATGACTTGGGAAACACTGACACAGACAATTTCATAATGAAGAGGCTGAGTTTATGATCTGAAACCACTGTGTTATAATAGGGTTGGCCTGTATTCTGATAACTACAAGTATCCCTAGAACTCTGGTTAAGAGGCTTCAAGTAGCATAGCACAACCTAGAACCAACTCCATTACAATAAATTTCTCCCCAAACATCAGCATTAGATTGCACAATTGTAAATTATTGTTGTTGTAATGTATTGAATATACACAGCCAAAGCCTGTTGATGTTCTCGAATACAAAAAAGTGAATAGAAACACATTGTAACTTGGATCATATCGTATCTTACAAAATCGACAAATGATCGGGAGTAGGAACTCTGACTGAATCATTTTCACCTTCAATGGTCTTATTTCCACTGCAGCCCCAGGTGAGATCAATTAACATAACACAGATCAGGGATTGAATCTGTAACCTTCTCCAGTCCATGTCTCACTACTGCACTGGATGTGGTCCTTAACCACCAAACTTTTGGAGGAGCTTACCATTGGGCGTTTTAAATCGACCGTTCTCACCTCCATAAACTCTTGAGGAACTTAAAAGAATGTGGACTCATTCAGCATTACCAAACTTTCTGTTTGTTGATGGTTGAAAAGAAATGTATAGTATTTTAACAGAAAGATGCAAAATGGAGCAATATCTCCGTATGTGCTCATTTAATTATCTCTTTTCTCATTCAGGCATGATAACCGATCTCTTCATAGACAAGTTCAAATTCAAGGGTACCAATGTGAAAACTAAAGTTCCTCTTTTGTTGGAAATCTTGGACAACTATGACCCTAATAGTCTACTATTATTCTTTGATTCAGCCTAGCTAAGCTCCTCAAAGCTTGCTGAAAAGTAAACTAAGGTTCATTCATCAATGATTGTGACCATTATAATGTAGTGTATTCCTGTGACTGGCAGTAATTCACTAGGAATGGGACAGACAATCTAGTTTATGGACTAGGAAAAGTGAAAGATTATACTACTTCAGAAGTATTTCATTTCTCAAACCCCACAATTGGTTTAACCCAATATGCATTAATTTGGACAAACCCCTTGTGATAATGCACAGCAAGATAATTATGTTTGTTAAAAGCATTTGAAAGAATGTTCTTGTATGTGACAGACTACATGAACAGAATACTGCAGATTTTGTGAAGTATGTGGTCTGTTAATTATTTTTCATGTTTGTGTATTCTCAAATTCAGTTTTACCTCTTCTTTCTAATAGCATTATCAGCATCAACCTGGCGCTTCTTCAGATAGCTGTTAAAGATCAGGAACTGACAATGTAATAGAACAGCTGCAGACTCAGTCCTGTGTTCGTTAGACCTGTGTATAGTAACACTGGTTCCAAAGCCCAAAGGGGCAATTGTAATAAAACCATAAAATATTAGAATTACATAACATTGGTAAGACTAGAGGACTCTAACTGTAGACATTTTGGACCAACTGAAGTAAAACTATGGTTGATGGTGAATTTCACCAATTATTATTTACATATTCTATTGTGGTTAATATTTGTTATAATGTAGGAACAAAATATAAAACACTACAGTCCTGCAGTAAACTACTGTAGTTCACAGTAATAAACTATTAATCTTTGATATAGCAGTATTCATGTTGGGAGGACATCTCAAAGCACTTCACAGGATTAACTGGAAAGTGTACTGACTATTTTGTAGGCAAATGCAGCAGCCAGTTTGTGCAGCACAATTTCCCCACAAATAGCCATGCAATGAATGACTAATTTTATCTTGGAGATTGTTGGCCAGGTGGGAAAAGGTCCCTTCTCCTTTAAAATAGCACCAGGGGATCTTTAACATCCACCTGAACAGGCAGACTGGTCTCCTGTTTCATATTCAAAAGAACCAATAGCAGTTATGACTGGAAGCATGTTATTTAAGTTTATTTGAAAAAAAACTTTGAATAGTTCATTTGTTCACTTCCATTAAGATATGTTGGGTCAGTTTACTCTTAACAAATTGTTTTCAGGAATTGTATTAAAAGCCGAGACTAAATGTTACAATATTGTTCAGTATGACATTAGATTTGCTTTTCTTTTTATTTAAACTCCTGTTTATTCATTCCACTGCTTAGAGTTATTGATGCAGTGACTTGCTATTGTTTTACTGTAAATAGGATAAGTTGTTCCACCATGAATTGGACAGTGGGGGGAAACCAGAAAAACGCACAAGGTTATGGTTGAGTGCACTTGTTATATGAATTGGTACCACATCAAACCCAATGTAATATTCACTATGCATACAGCGTATCACTCAGATATGTGTTATCATTGGATTCTGTATTAGTTGCATTACTGAATCATACAGTAATCTGATTTGCCTGTGTCCTCGCCCAAACCAGGCTCTGCATTCCCACCATCCCAGCACTTCCCAGGCTCCATTGATTCCCTGTTGCAGAATGAATCAATTTCAAGATTCTCACTTTCAAATCACTACAAACTGTATAGTTGATACCAAATGATATTTTGACATTTTGTTTTATAGAAAGTAATTTTCTTGATGTATGGCAGAATTCGATAATTCTTCAACCCAGAAAATAAATGGCTTACTACCCAAAGGGTATTTTATACTGTTCTCTGTTAATGATGAGGCTTTAAATAAGGTTGAGTAATTTAGTGAGTGATTTGAGCAGTATACAGTAAACTCCTGATACCTCGAACCTGGTTCAACTTGTCACTACCACTTAAATCATTATACTGTAATATCCCAACTGCATTTATGTATGTACTTATACATATGCCTAACTTGCCACTCCAGATAATTTGTCCCTGAGCCCTTTTCCTTTGAAGCGACGAGATATCAGGAGTTTATTCTATTGTCTATTAAACTTAGTATGAACACACAATTCACAAATTTACCACATGGTCGCCTTATTTCAAACGCAAAGGATTATAAAATAAAGGGATGTCAGTATAAACAGGATTATGTTAAGCAGAGTTAAGTAATGCTGTCAACGATGCATGTCAATTCAACTATTGTCGCTGACACTGTATGGCTCAGTAATTTTTCCTGGCCAGTTTCTCAACGGATGCGCTTCTGTTTTAACTAAAATGTCCAAATCCCCTGCCCCCCTCGCCACACGCAGAGAGAGAAAATCAAAATGTTGAACTGATCATAATTTGTTGTGAATGTTAAAAAGTAATTACAGACATACTCGCTTTTTAATAGCAGAACAAAATGAAGTGGGAGAACAGGTTGAGGAGGATTTGCACATCAGCAATTATTTCCTCTCCCGGCATCTACAACTACCAAGAGATAAAACACTAGCGCTTTGCACTTCTTCTGTTTACTCTTCTACAGAACGCATCAAAGTTGACACCTAACCGCCACCTCTCCTCTTCCCAACAGACTGTGAAACCAGCTACGCTGTGTAGCCAGTGTTTCCTCAGGAGAGTTCACAGTGGCGTCAAGATTAGTGTTCAGTTCAGTGATCCTCAGCTCATTGGGGCCACTGCTATCCAAAATTCTTGATAAATGTATACGAAAATATATTTTGTGTTGAGAGGTGAGAAGCTATGAGTAAATGGGACAGCAAATATATAAGTTAACCGAAGGCTATTTTGATTGCACCGCGGTTCTGTTGCTCACCGGCTTTCAGTTGGTTCCATCTGTTGCTTTATTGTTTGCTTCTGATAATCAGACAGATTAGCGCGGCCGTCAGTACCCACCTTCGCATTTCAGTTGGTTAATTGCGTTAAAAGCAGACCTAACACTGATACACACGCTATGAATTTAAAATGCAATCATGCGTCGTTGCGACTTGATCCAACTTGCCCCACACAAACACTTATTTGCAAGGTGTGGCAAAAGCCCCACTGAAAGATTAATATAATGCTGGGAAAGTGTACGGCACGATTCATTTCAAATTCTAACCCAGGCGAGCTGACACGATCAAACAGACAGACTGGGCGACTTCTCACGCGTAAGTGTTTTGTAGTACACCATATAGCAGAGATGATTCCAGTGACACGTTTTTTTTTATTTTTCCGTTTCTATCACCTTTTAATGTAAATGTTCTGCAAGTGAGGTCCAATAGTTGGTGATGTTTATCACAATTCCTCATGAACCATAAATAATAAGGAATTGTGATACTCTCCTGAAACCTGAGGGAAGTTTCCTTACTCCACACATGTGTCTATTTGCATCGCAGTAAGTAGGACCCCACTTGTTAGTCAATTGACAGGAATTGCTTTCTGGGTGTAATAATCCCATCAAAAACAATTAATTAATAATCATAATTTGCTCATTCAATTCACTCCAACAACAACAACAACAACAAGATTCCATCTATAGAGCGCCTTTCACGTCGGGAGGACGTGTGTGTGTGTCTGTGGGTCTCTGTGTGTGTGTGTCTGTGTGTGTGTGTCTGTGTGGGTCTCTGTGTGTGTGTGTCTGTGTGTGTGGGTCTCTGTGTGTGTGTGTGTGGGTCTGTGTGTGTGTGGGTCTGTGTGTGCGTCTGTGGGTCTCTGTGTGTGTGTCTGTGTGTGTGTGGGTCTCTGTGTGTGTGTCTGTGTGTGTGTGGGTCTCTGTGTGTGTGTGTGTGTCTCTCTGTGTGTGGGTCTGTCTGTGGGTCTCTGTGTGTGTGTGTCTCTGTGGGTGTCTGTGCGGGTCTGTGTGTGGGTCTCTATGTGTGTGTGTGTGTGTGGGTCTCTGTGTGTGGGTCTGTCTGTGGGTCTCTGTGTGACTGTCTGTGTAACTGTCATATAATTCAAATCTCTGACGACAAAGGGCGTGCCACGCCCCCACGCCGTACGTGATGACGTTGGTTGACGCTCGGCCGCTGCCCTCGGCGTGATGACGCGCGGCAGCTTCTGGCCTTCAATTGGCTGATTCCAATTGTCGCGGGACACTTGAACTGAGAGGAACTGCAACCGCTCCCAACCCGAGAGAGAGGGGGAGAGAGGGAGAGGGAGAGCAAGAGAGGGGGGAGAGGGAGAGAGTGCGGGAAGGGAGAGTGGGAGAGAGGAGGAGAGCGGCAGCTGCGGGGGAGGGGAGAGAGGAGGAAGCGGAAGAGAAAGAGAAGAAGGTAACGCCGAACAGAAAAAGAGGGCGAGCGCAGAGCGAAGCGGGTAACCCCTGAGAGAGAGAGAGAGAGAGAGGGGGTACAGAGGGGAGGGCCCCACCCCGGGGGGGAGGGGAGTAACTGCCCTTTTGCTTCTCTCACAATCCTCATTGAACCCAGAGCCGCTCACATGGGAGCCCCGCCCTGAGCCCGAGCCCCCCACTGCCCCCCCGCCCTGAGCCCCCCACTGCCCCCCCGCCCTGAGCCCCCCACTGCCCCCCCGCCCTGAGCCCCCCACTGCCCCCCCGCCCTGAGCCCGAGACCCCCACTGCCCCCCCGCCCTGAGCCCGAGACCCCCACTGCCCCCCGCCCTGAGCCCGAGACCCCCACTGCCCCCCACTGCCCCCCGCCCTGAGCCCCCCACTGCCCCCCCTGTGCCCGGTGCCCCCCACTGCTCCCCGCCCTGAGCCCCCCCTGTGCCCGGTGCCCCCCTCACTGCTCTGTCTTGTCGGTCAGCTCCCCCCCCGCCGCCATGTTCGCCGGGAGTGCCGAGCGGGAGAACGCGCTGCCCCCGCGGCGGGAGGAGGAGGAGGCGGGGACCGGGGAGGGGCGGAGGCCGAGCCGCCGGGACCTGAGCCTGAACCCCGCGGCCGGAAGGAAGGTTCTCGGGGTCTTACACAGCAACAACGGCCCTCAGCCCCGCGGCAAACAGGTGGGTGTGAGCCCCGCCCCGGGGGGAGCGCCGGGGGAGGGGGAGTGCCGGGGGGGAGTGCCGGGGGAGAGGGGGGAGCCCGGGGGGGGGGGGGGGGAGAGGGGGGCCCGGGGGGGGAGGAGGAGGTATTGTCTGTTGTGTGGGGTCGGGAGGAGATTGTGTTATTTCTCGGATTTTGGGGTTCATATCAGACTAAGGTTTAGGGTCTGTGGGTGTGGGGGTCTGTGGGTGTGGGGGTCTGTGGGTGAGGGGTCTGGGGGTGGGGGGGTGAGGGGGTGGGGGCTGTTTGACCCCCCAGCAGCTCTGGCTGTCCCCCCCCCCCCCCCCCGGGTCTCCCCCCCCCACAGACTCGGGTCGTTACGGATTAAGAGACGTTGTCGTTGTCGGTGAAACAGATGTTTGTAATTCGGCGCCAACAACAGTGAATCCCAGAAATAAGAGCAGTGAAATGGGGTTTTATTGTCGCCACAAATCGGGAATATTCACACGAACTTTCACTGATTTTTGGGGCCAAATCCGATCGCAAAAGCGGCGATGTTTCCTGTAGTGGATCCCAATCCCTTCTGTGGTCCCCGCGACCCGCGGACACTGTGTGTGTATATATATATATATATATATATGTGTTGGATCTGCGATTTGTTGGAGTTTAAACTCTATTTTGATGAGTTTATTCCAATAAATAAATACATATGAAGTTCATTCCGTTTTCCGCTTTGACTCTGTCCTGAGGTTTGAGACTCACAGACACAGAGAGAGAGAGACACAGAGAGAGAGACACAGAGAGAGAGACACAGAGAGAGAGAGACAGAGAGAGACACAGAGAGAGAGAGACACAGAGAGAGAACACAGAGAGAGAGAGACACAGAGAGAGAGACACAGAGAGAGACACAGAGACACAGAGAGAGACACAGAAGCGCTCACAGGTTGTGGTTAGTGTTGTGTTGGGGGTTATGGCTACAATGTGGCGCCTTTGTATCCAATCAAACCCCCAAGTGCAGTAACTCCCCACCAGTGAAACAGTCACTTCTCCTCTCCCCCCCCACACCACCTCCACACACACACCTCCCCCCCCACCCACACCACCTCCACACACACACCTCCCCCCCTACACCACCTCCCCCCCCCCCCCCCACACCTCCCCCCCACATACACCCTCACACCACCTCCCACATACACCCTCACACACACCCACACCACCCCCCCCCACATACACCACACTCTCCCACACACCACAGCCCCCTCACATACACAACCAGCCCCACACTTCCCCGCCCCCCCCCCCCCCACACACACATACAGAACCACCCCCCACCACACACAAAACCAACCCCCCCCCCCCCCACACACACCACCTCCCCTCCACATACACCAGCCTCCCTCCCACACACAACTCCCCCTCCCACACACATAAGCCCCGGCCCCAGGGTCTCTCTCGCTGCCTCTGGCTGTGAGGAATGGCAGATGGGGCTGATTCCCCGCCGCCCCCTTTTTCGCTCGTTTTATTCCGAACCCTGGTCCCAGGAGCAAATTGCCTGTGAGACTCACTGCTGCCTCCGGGCCATGAGGGACCAGGTTCCTGTCTAAGTGGCGCTATTCCGTCCTAATGACCTGCCACCCATCTGGGCTCCTGGTGTCCGAACAGGTCAGTCAGACCCGGGAGCCTGTTGTACGTCTCAAGCTAATGTCTAATGTAATGCAAACCTTTTCTAAAGAGGTTATTTTAACACTTTTTTTGAAATGTAGTTTTGCCCACGAGACGCAGGTGTAGGTACGTACGGTGCTGCCGACTGCTGACAGCTGTCTCTTGAATTGGCTTTTTGGAACACAAGATCGAGTGAAACTGCACTGAGTCAATAGTGTGGTTTACCGTAACCTCTGCTCGGTTCAGCAGGTGGCAGTTTGTTCTGCCCTTGACCTTCATAACCAAAGGAAGTCTTAATTGGCATTTATCCAAGTTTGTTTCCATTTTCGTTTGGTTTGGTCCTGTCTATCCTCCAGCGACACCGTCATAAGATTACGCTGATTGTGTTGTACGCTATCACATCAATAGTGGGAACCCTTGTTATTTCCCTCTACCAACTCAGAATCATATGATTATACCGCACAGAAGGAGGCCATTCGGCCCATCATGTCCGTGCCGGCTCTTTGAAAGCACATCAGTCCCGCTCTCCCCATAGCCCTGCAAATTTGTCCTCTCTTTGTTGGTGTAGAGCATTTTTTTTGTGTGATTGAATTTAGGTAATGCAGCATATGCCTGGAGCACGAATTAGATTTTTTTTGTCTGGTTTTCATGGTTCAATGAAACATTGGTATTGCTCAGTGTTGACTTCTACTGATTTCTTTACCGTTTCTTTGACAGCAGTGACTAATCCTGGGGTTGGTTTCACAGACAGTATTCCTCTTGTATCTTTCTCAAGTAGTCAATTTATGTGCATCCAGGTGTCAGGTGTTTACTATTGAAAAGAGAGTTGCTGAGCTTGATCCTAATCCCGGCACTTTTTAGCTCTCCTCACCCCTTCCTTTAATTTTAATTGATTGGAAACTTAGCAATTCAATTGTAACATGAAAACCTGCAATGTATTGTTGATGTTAGAAAATCATGATGCTTTGTGGCTTCAGCTGAATAAGACTCGGAACCTCCTCTGGAACAAAGGTTAAACATGTACTATCTGTCCTGCCATTTTGATGGCTGCACAAGGAGAATGCAATGACTTGTATCTTACAACTCAAAGCCTTGGTTACAACATAGTTTTTCTTTCGCACCGATTTTGTTCCAGACCAGTAATTTTCAGACTAAATGGAGATCATCACTTTAGCATTTTTTTTTTTTTGCTTTCACAGGGGAGTTCAGTGGGGAAACCATTTATCTTCAGTTATGAGTATATTTTAAAAGTTTGTAAAGTGTGGTTGTAAATGCAATCTGAACAGCCGTATCCTTATCTAAGTTAGGGTCGAGGGAAAACATAATTCTAATAGCTGATCACGTGGAAAGCAAAATGGACGAGGTCTATAATTTTGGAGATCATTTATATCGTTCCTAACTCGGCCTACAGGTTTCTTCAACACAAGGATTTGTTTGGAGCAATGATGAAAATTCTGGTGAGATCCCAGCGGCAAAGGTGGCAGCAAAGCCTTCATTTACAATCCACGTGGATGATTCGTGTGGCGTGGATGAGCCAGATGGCCATTTCAAGAGGAACAAAGTCAGGGGTGTAGAATGTGTTGCAAGTCTGGGACTAAATCCAACTGTACTGTCATTGGGAACACGTCAGCCTTTAGCTCCTATTGAGTGTCCTCCAGATGTCAGTTTTGGTAAGTTTTGCATTTGACAGTTGACTTTGTTCGTAATTGAGCTTTACATTTTTTTTTCTTCCAGAATTCATTTTGAATTGCTTTTTCTTTTAATGGGGAACAAATTAACTTCGGTTTCTCTTTAAAGTGGCCCTTCCCTCGCCTCCTTCAATGTCTGTCTTAAGACCTTCTTCTTTGATGAGGAAGACTCCTAGCCTCTCGAATTCAACCCTCGGTGCCTTGGGATGACCTCCCAACGTGAAAGGCGCTATTTTCACTGCAATTTGGCTCTACAGTGCCTCAGCTCCAGAGTGACAGCAATTGGATGTTATTAACAACAATAACAATCCTTGCATTTGATATAGCGCTTTTCATGAATTCTAGACGTCATAATGGTTTTGATATATCACTATCACATTAAGATAGCTGTAATTTTGTAGGTGAATGCAGAACCAATTTTGCACCGAGTAATGTCCCACAAATTCAGGAATGAAATGAATAACCAATTTTCTTGAGGGTTGTTGGCCAAGACACTGGGAGATACTCCCTTCTCTCTTATAGTTCTATGGGATCTTTAACTTGAGCCTTGTGGCTCAGAGGCGAGAGTGCTGGCAGGTTAACACTGCGGCAGGTTAACACTGCAATTCTGTAACTGTTGAGTGCATTTGCGCAATGGTAGGAAGGGCTGATGTTAAGTGTATGTTCATCCTTTTACGCTCCACTAAATTGTGTGATTTTTCAAGATTCTCCCATGCTACTGGATACATCTACACCAGGCTGTGAAGAAAAACAAGCAAACGTTAATGCTGTACCTGAATATGCGGACGATATTCACAAGTACCTAAGAGAAATGGAGGTAAAAAGACCACTGAGCTAAACTATCAAATATTGTTTTGTTCTTTAACTTAGTCACTGGGGTGTCTTTGAATCGAAACTTATTTTGATGCCACATAATTAATCTAATGCTTTGCCCACATCTTGAATGCTGGTTTCAATCTGTTGATAGATTCCTGGAATTTATACAGCACATTTGGGCCATCCAACAAGTGCTAATGCTACTGTCTCCCATTGGAGCTAACAGCTGTAAATCACAATTCTCTACTCCTTTGTGTTTCTCTTCAAATTCTTGTTATGTAAAATTTAATCCCTTTGAAAAAAAATAATAATTTAGTCATTCAACCCACGACTGTTTGTGGGGACGCTGCTGTGCGCAATTGGCTGCCACGTTTCGCCCCTCAAAATATACGGGCAATTCACTTCACAGTATATCCTGTGAAGCGCTTTGAAACGTCTTGAAGACGTGATAAGGCGCTACATCAAATGCAATTATTATTATCTTAACATTATAGCTGAATTAATGTACTCTAGGAATTACTTGGTTAATAATATATTGTAAAGTGGATTGACTATTTTGTGGTTAGCTCGGTGGACTTTGGCCTGCTCCACCATCTGCTGGCCCTCAGCCTCTCTTCCCCCACCCTTTGGAACTCCATCCCATGTCCATCCATGCCTTATACCCCCCCTCCCTTGCCTCAGTCAAGGCCGGTCTCGAGGCCTTCCTCTTCTACTGTGCCTTCTGACACCCTCCTACCCCCCACCCTCCCTGCCCTTCACCCCTCCTAATCCCATCCCACAGCTCGGATGTTGACTATCCAGCGCTTTATGATGTCCTCCCAAAGTAAAAGGTGCCATACATATGTTATTTGTTGTGAGCTTTGTTTGTTCTTAACAAGCCAGACATGTGCTGAGAATTAAGATTTTGCTCCTTGACTGGTTTATTCTCAAACTTCCAAGTGCTTTACTGTGTTTAGGTTAAATTTGTTGTTTAGGTGTTTAGGTCCAATCTAAAAATGTATTTGCAATCCCAGTGTTACACAAACAAATAGCCTGAGTGGCATTTAGATCGGTTGATACTGTTTTTGCACAGCACTGCTATTAACTGGTATGCCAGTAAGATTATTTTGGTAAATTGCTGACTAAATTAAAATTCTACATTAAATGTGTATGCTATTTGGTGGCACAATTCAAGGTTTGTTCATTTTGGTAACCCTGACCTCCATCATCTTTCAAATTAAAAGTTCTATTTAAGTTCAATAGATGTCACTGGAAGCTGAATTGGGCATAATTGAGTCTTTGCTGTTTAAATATTTCGCAAGTGGAATTTGGTCCTCCAGCACTTTTCTATCCATTTTACTGATACTTGGCAAGAAATTAATTGTTGGGATTAATTTGGAGAGGCAGCACGGACACAATGGGCCGAATGGCCTCCTTCTCTGCTGTATGATTCTATGAAACGCAGTCAACTACATACCAGAAGGATGTAAATCTAGACAAATTAATGTAACTATTCCACAGCTGCCAGATTCCGGTTATTTTTGTGCTGACTAAATATGTAGGGTTTAATGGTGCGAATCCATAAATCACTAATTTCATGGGTTGAGATGAGCTTTATAGGAAACTGACAACGTGCATTTTCCTCCTTTTCTGTCAATCAGCTGAAATGTAGACCTAAAGCTGGCTACATGAAGAAACAGCCAGATATAACCAACAGCATGAGGGCTATCCTCGTTGACTGGCTGGTGGAAGTCGGGGAAGAGTACAAATTGCAGAATGAAACTCTATACCTGGCAGTTAACTACATTGACCGGTTCCTGTCCTCCATGTCAGTGCTTCGAGGGAAACTACAACTCGTAGGAACGGCTGCTATGCTGTTGGCATCGTAAGTAATCGCCCCAATGGGTTTATCACCTTATTATGCACAGCTTTCTTTCCTTCTCTGTTCATCACTAGACTTGCAATTTAGACAGTTGACCTCCCTCTTCAGGACGGTTTCATTCAGCACGTTGGTTAGCTGTTTTGTTGCTCCCTCTTTTGCAATCAATCTGCTAAAACTGCCCTGAGGGCTTGGCTTAAACCGTGGGAGTGGGAAACATTTTTAAAAAGAATTGTACTAAAATACAGTTGAATTTTCCTGTCCAATTGTTGGGATGATATATTTGCAGTTATATATTCCCCTCCCCCCCCCCCCCCCGCATCCTTCAAGACCCTCCTCTTCGACCACGTCGCCTTCTTACAACCACCCTCCTGATCCCAACCACCAGCTCGGATGCAGATCCCTGACCAGCCAGTGCCTCCGGGGGTCCTCCTGACGTGACAGCAGTTGTGCAGATGTCAGTTGTTGTGGTTGTTTTGAGCACTATGTTTTTGCTTTCTATAGAAAGTTTGAAGAAATCTATCCGCCCGAGGTTGCTGAGTTTGTGTACATAACCGACGACACCTACACCAAGAAGCAGGTTCTGCGCATGGAGCACCTGATTCTCAAAGTTCTGTCATTTGACTTGGCAGCACCGACCATTAACCAGTTTCTCGGCCAATATCGTGGGCGGGAGGAAGCCAGCAGTAAGGTTGTGAGTCTCTCTTTGGTGAGTACACTGTATGTTCTGTAGTACAATGTACCCTCTGAGACTCGGAATTTAAAACAAAGTGTCACTGCTGTGGGATGTTTCCGGCATGAATAGATAGCTGTTTGCCATATAATTATTTATAATCAATATTATCTTGTAAAGCACTTGTGGACGTGTTTACATGAAAGTCACTAAGTGTAAATTATCATTGTCGTTGAGAGGTCGGATTGATTCTTGTTTGTCAGTAAACTCTGAAGATTCAAAGGTCATTTCATTTAATATGATGTCCTTTTTTTGTTTTTCATCCTTTCCCCCCCCCCCCCCCCCCCCCAGTATCTTGCAGAGCTCAGCTTGATCGATTCTGAACCATATCTGAAGTACTTGCCTTCTACCATTGCTGCGTCTACCTTTTGTCTGGCTAACTACACAATCAATAAAGTCGGCTGGGTGAGTTGTGTCGATAGTCTGACCTGTGAGGCATAGTTTTCACTTTAGATTCACTGAACACTGATTGCTTTGCTGTGAAGGGAATCCTTTAGATATTGTGTTAAGATGTATCCCCCTTTTTTCTTTCTTTGCAGCCGAAATCACTAGTTCAATTGACTGGCTACACTTTGGAAAGCATAATGCCTTGTGTGACTGACCTCTACCAAACCTACCTCAAAGCATCGGAACATGCACAGCAAGCAGTGCGGGAAAAGTATAAGACCTCTAAGTAAGGATGATACTTAGAGTTGAACGTCAATAAGACCGAGGCTCCTGATTGGCTCCCGTCAGCGCCTCCTCACCTTGCGCTGACAGCATCACCATCCATGGGGCTCACTCCCCCTCACTGAGCCAGTCCCGAACCTTGGGGTCTTGTTTGACCCTCAACTATCCTTTCTATCTCACATCCACGCCATGACCCGCTCTGCCTTCCCCACCTCCGCAACATCGCCCGACTCTGCCACTGTCTCACTCCGCCGAGACCCTCACACACGCATTCATAACATCCAGGCTCGACTACACAAACTCCCAGCTTGTCGGCCCCCGACTCCTCCCTCCACAGACTGCAAATCATCCAGAACTAACTCTGCACCCGTGTCCATATCTCTGTCTGGCACCTTGGGACGTCCTCCCCACATAAGAGGCGCTTTACACATGTACTGTTGTTCAGGCAGTACTGTCAATGAAATAAGGCTGTGGGAGAGATTTTTCTGTTTGCTTCAGGCGTTTTGCATGCAAACTGGAATAGCTTTCTACAAGTGTACTCTATGGCTTTCCACATGCTGTTACTTTAGTGGAAACCTTGTTCTCACATGTGTATGAATTACTCTTAAACAGTTTGCCAGAATGGCTTGAACTATATAGTGTAAGTGCTGCAACCTTTCAAACTTTGCATGACTTAAAATTTACTCAGCGCAGGACTAGAGGTATAATGACCGGAATTATAATAATTAGTTTCTAGATCCTATGGGTGCAGATTGTACATTCCCAGTTTACTACCATTCCATTTGTGTTCTTTAGCACTGTAAGAAGAGTTGGTGGGCTGTGCTATTGGTGATTGTTAAATTAGAAGCATCTTAAAACTGCAGATATTATAATCCTTGTATTTGATATAATGCTCTATCTTTGAGACACATCGAAGTGCTTGTACAGCTAATACGAGTGAGTGCTGAAAGCTTGTGACAGAACCCAGTTAGAGCTTAAGAAGTTCTGATGGATATTTTTACAAATTGTTAAAGCAATTTGAGACATTTCAAGCAATTCAAGAGATTGTAAATTTGTGCTCCTGGAAGCAGAATATTCTTCGAAGCTAAAATTCCTGGTAAATGAACAATTGTATTCCCTTTCCAGGAATGCACGAATACCAGACACGGGGGAAAGTACTGATTCATTGCATTAATGCACCTTATTGGGTGCTCATTGGCTCAGGGCAGGGTAACTTGTCATTATACATGTGATTAATATGTGAAACCCAGAGGTAAACTTGCTTATGCTTGGACCATTAAAGGTAGATATTGAAAATGTCTGCATTAAAAGCCCTGGAACACTTTCTACTTCATAATAATTAATAATAGGACATCTTAAAGTGCTTCACAGAATATACTGTAAGTGGATGGACTGTGTACTTTGTGGGCGAAAACGCGGAAGCCAATTGTACACAGCCATGTTCCAGATACAGCTGTGGATTGAGTGACCACATTTTTTTTGTTGTTACCAAGACAAGGTAATGTGTAGTTTGTCAGCGAGTTTCAGATGCTTAACCTAGTTAAGTAGCCACCTTTCTGCAAGACTAGCAAGAGGAAATGAAGTAAGTTGCTTTCACTAAACATACATTTCTCTTGCAGATATCACTGTGCGTCTCTCATTGACCCACTGCCATCATTGGACCAGCTTCTTTAGTGGAGTGCGAACCCCTTTACCTTGTACGTTATACCTCCGCAGAACCTGGGGACAATTGCACAGCTCAGTTATCTTTCACGAAGAAAATGATGATCTTCTGATCAGTTTGCCACAGTGGTTGTCAGCACTTGATAGCTGCAGTTCATGTCAGCAGTAATGTGGTGACTTTCTTATGGTATTGCATGCAAGAGTTGGAGCCAGTTTTATACGTTTATGAATTATGAACTTATGTGCAATCCTATTGCAGTTTTAATTTTTTTTAAATATTTTTAGGTTACTAAAATAACTAAACTCAGATTAACCAATAGAATAACCAGTTATGTAATTCACTTGGGAAACCATGTGCATATAGATTTTTTTTATTGAAAATAAATCGCTATTAGTTTTTTTTGGAAGATTGCTGATGTATGAAAATGTTTTTTTTAAAAAAAAAGAACTGCTGGATTTTAACAAATGTTATCTTCAAGTGAGCAAGACGTCCAAGTGGTCAGTTTCACCCAATCCTGTAGATGGCTTAAGACTGTTTGGGAAGACATTTGAACTAGGGAGGTGGGGAGGTGGGGTGTTCATAGACTCCACTATGGCTGAGTTGTGTATGACCGAAATGTAGGTTTCTTTCAAATTCAGTTTTAGAATCGCTTTGGGGTGGAATGTGCATTAACTACATTTGCTTGCTCTTAATTCTATTAGTTGGCTTTGATTGAGTATGGATGATGCACTTTTTGTTAAAAGATTTTTTAACAACTTTTCTGTCATGTAGGCCCAATTTACTTGCCATTTAGAGGAATAGGAGTATTCCGTACAAACGTCTTTAGATTTTAAAAATCTGCCCCAATATCTACATAATACTTCATTTAGTTCAAATTTTTTTGCTTTCGTAATTTGTTCTTTTCATCTACCCATGCAAATTGAGGCAGATATTTTAAAAATATTAAGTACCATATTTGCAATGTTCTTTTTGCATCGGTTAAGGTAGAACATGGTGATTTTTCAGGTGAGTAGTTGAAATCTATCTGCATAAAGAATGATTTTTGTTCCTTTTGAGTTGGGCATCGCATTCCTCTCATTTGCGTAATTCTGTGCTAAACTGATGGCTATGGATCATTGACAACCTTTTTGTGCCTGAACATTTATGCCTTCGTGGCAACATTAGCTGTTGCAGTAAAAAAGAACAATCTAGCCTTTCATTTGAGGATGTCTACTTTCTGTTGATTTCCACATATAAATTATGGAACATGCAACAAATTTAGCAATAAACAAGTACTAGAACCAATATCTGTCTGGGAATATCTTTTGAGAATTGATGTTTTGAAATCTGTTTTAAAGTTCTTGATATTAATGTATGAACCATTTGTTATAAATTTAAATGGACCCTCCATTTAAGTGGCCAACTGACACTTTGGACCTAATGTTGGGGTCAACTATGAAACCTCTGGCAATCTTTGATACTTTTACCTTTTTTAACCTGGTTTGGAAATGCTGTCAGAGTAAGTGGAGCTGCGAGATGAGAGGGTTGGAGTCGAGGAAGCAGGTGGTGTTTCATGTTGGATACAGTGGTGAGGAGGAGGGGGGAGACAGGTTCAAAGAGGGAGGGATGGATAGGGATCGGAGTGTGGGGGGGGGAGAGACGGTTGGGAGGGTGGAGGCAGCTGAATGGATCCCCTCAATTTTGGACGTGAGGAAATCCAGCATCTCCTCCAGTCAGAGTTTGAGAAGAGAATGGATATGGTGTGGGAGGGTGGATGGAGGAGCCAGTTGGTGGAGAATAGGAGTTTGGGGTTGTCCTTCGCCTCCAACCTCATCTTGGAGGATGATTTGGCGAGGGCGGGGTGTTTTGATGTGGTCCATACTTACTAAACTCTGTACCCACATCTCACCAGCTCTGGTCCAGGCTCCACTGGCTCCCCATCACAGAACACATCGACTTCAAGATCCTCTCACTCTCGTGTTCAAATCCCTTCACTCCCTGGCCCCTCCCTCCCTTTCTGATCTCCGACCTCCTCACTCCCCAAGCCACCAACTGGCACTGGCTCCTGCTCGTCCCTCACACCCTCCGCCCCACCTTCGGAGGTCGCATTTTCAGCCACTACATCCCGAAACTCTGGAACACTCTCCCTCAATCCCTCTGCCTTGCCCACTCCCCTTTTTCAACTGCTGCCTGAAAACTTCCTTCGACTCGTGCTTACGGCCACCTCCCCGGCTCGGAGTCAGGCTCCATCACTGTTAAGCTTGAGACGGTGCCATGCGTGGAGGACGCTATATGAGTGCAAGTTGTGGTAATGATCAGTTATTGCAGTACAGAATTTACTCAGGGTAGCTTTGGTAAAGGGAACATTTAAACTTGTAGAAACAATTCAGAGACTTGTGGAGAGAAGTAAAACAGGCAGCTGCACATTATTAGCCAGGAGGTCTCAATGTTGTAATTGAGTACAAATCATCAATCTCATTCAACCTAAGGATAGCCCACCCATCAACTGCAGGTTCTGAGATGTATTGAACATGTACCAAGAAAATATATTTTTGCATTACTTTCTGAACTATTCAAATATTTAATCCAAAAGGGACTAAAACAGTTTACTTCAATGTTTAGTTGGAAAACAGTATTTTGGCACAAAATATTACAAGTTCTGTTCATGCTCACTTTCATAGAATTAACTAATTTAGTGCATAGAAAATAGATAACTTATCAAAAGATCAGCCCACATTTACAGTGTACAATATTGCATTTTCTCACACATCTCCCTCCCCTTATTCAATAACAGTAAAGGCATAGCATTACTTTCATCGTCACTCTTTTGTCATAATCCACAATATTTAACGGTTCTGAGACTTGAGATGTTACAGCCGAGATCCTTTCTTCTTTTTCTGCCGGGTTTTGGTTAAAGCTTTGCTCGCTACCTGCTGTGGTTCTTTGGTGTTTGCTTTTTTCTTACTCCTGTGGAGGGGGAGAAAGTTAAGTACTTAACTTTGATTGGCAGAGATATACCAAAACAAATAGTTGAATTTACACAAAACTTTTAAGTAAATAAACAATCCTCAATCTTAGTACAGGTCTCTAATTTTCAATTACTTGCTACTGTGGGTTTGGAGGGAAGGGAGGGAGGTAAAATATTGCAGGTTCCCATTTCTGATTGTTATCCTGGCGGGTAGGAGTGGGCAAGGAAAGGTTAGGTTGAGGATTTTGAACTTGTTCTACTGGGGGATGGGGAAGAGCTGAGGGGAGTCCAGTGAGCAGAGCTTTGGCGTAGTCAAACCTGGTTGTGATAAGTGCATTGATGAAGATCTTGGCAGAGGGGAGAGGTGAGATGGGCAATAGTTCAGAATTGGGGGAAAAGCTTGAGTGGATCAAAGCACATGTGGAGTTTAAAGGACAGTTGGGAATCAAACAAGACACCAAGGTTCCCCAAAGCCACCACAAGGTGGAGTGTGCATTCCAAGCAAGTTAATGCTGTCAGCACCTGAGGTGAGAAGGTGCTACGGGAGCCAAGCAGGAGAGCCCCGTCTTATTGATGTTCAACTGAGCTTATCCAGGACTTGATGCCTGACAGGTGATCAGTCATAACAGCAATGGCCAGTTAGGTCAACAACCGCAATTAGGTGCAGTTTGACAAGACTTTGAGGACCACAGGGTGTGTTGGGGGTAATTGTTGGGAGTCTAACCAGCTAAAACCACATAGCTTGCAATTGATAGCACTGTCTGGCAAGCTTTCCCGCTGCTTGTCCAGCTAAGACCTGTTAGCTCCTATTAGCATCTGCAAGCCAAAGTCCTAAGTGGAAAGAAACTTTGCTCCCAGGAACTCCAATCCTTGACAATAAACCGCACTGGCTAGTTTTTCATCAATATTGCCTTGATGTAATGTGGACCCACGAGGCTCAGGAATCAATTACCGAGACTAGGACAGAGGGTTGACTAAACTCATAACATTCTGTTGCCAAGCGCATTGCACAAGACCTGGAACTAACTCAGTTCCAAGGAGACCCCACGTATCTCCACCCACACCCAAGGAGGATAGTTACTAGTTGATCATTTGACATCCAACAAGCTCAGATTTGAGCCTTCACCGGTGGATAGTAAGCACCTTGGGATGTTCTCCTGACGTAAAAGGTACTGTAGAAATGTAATTTGTTGTTGGGATATCAGGCACTATCTTGTCGATGCGAGTTAGTTAAATTTTTTCCCATTATTTTAACATTTTACTTACCGATATTGTAAACCAGCCACAAGGGAACAAAACCATTATTTTAGCTATGCGGCATGACTTACTGTGATAGCAACCGTACAGATTTTCTTTTCTGTTGACTGGCACTGAACATAGATGAGAATAAAAAGTACAAAATGTGATGTTTAACATCGCCAAAGAACACAGATATCTCTGAATCATCTGAGTTATTATTAAAAAAAAACAAATGGTAAATTATTTTCGTTTTATGCCTAACCCCCGCTCCTCCCCCCCCCCAGCTCGGGTACAAGTCCCTGACTGTCCAGGACCTTGGGACGTCCTCCTGACGTAGATGGAGCTATACAAATGTAATCTTGTATTGTATTTTGTACTGTACTATACGAAACCATTAAGAATGGCACAGTACAATTTATTCTGAAAAACTCATGTGATTTAATTGTCAGATCATATGTAACCCCAACTTACCTCACTTCCTTTTGCTTTCTCTCTGGGGCTAGAACCACCACATCCTCCTCTTCACTCTCAGACAGAACAATGACCTCATCTACACCAAAGGCACAAGAAAGATGATCAACAGAGTACAATTTACACGTATATAACACCTTCCACAGCGGGAAAATGTCTCAGAGTTCAACAATGCTGGATGGGCACCTGAGCTGGGGGTGGAAGCGAGGGTAGAATGGCTGAAAGCCTGCCTGATAATGGTGGGATGGGGACATGAAGCAGGCCCGTGTTTGCTGGTTTCATCAAATGGTGTCCAAAATTGAGAAATGCAACGCAAAGTTGCTTTCACATTCGATTACAAACAGTCACCACATATTACAGGAAATCCTGTGAAGCACTTTTGAGACATCCTCCCGAGGTGCAAACCTATATTAAAAGCAAGGATTATTTAGTATTATTCTTAACGTGTGCTCCAGTCAATTTACCATCTTTTCCCTGGTCAATGCTCATTTTCTGGTCCCCTGGCTCAACAATGATATCTTCCTCATCGTCCTCCTCCTCCTCCTCCTCAAGGTCATCCATCATCCATTCATTGCGGATCCCTTCCCCGATCTGACCTGTACCAGGGGCACACAGCACGGGTTTCGCATCGCTGTGTCAGGTTAAGAAAAGTACTTGACGAGCAAGTTTTAAATAGGAATCAGAATCACACAAATGGGGACTTCATCTGGTAACCCATGTCTGTTGTGTCCAATACTCACAAATGTGCAATTTCCAGCAAGGCTCACTGGATACTGAGTGGAAAATCCAAGTAGTTTTTTTTGACTAGCACAGCAACCCTGTGTTGCCCCTACCATTACCCTGGCCCTGATCATCTAACCTGTGCAGATTTAAGAAATTGAATTTAGGACTTTTCTGTCTTAAACTTGCGGAGCACTGCCCCATTGAGCCACGCTTCCAGAACACTGACATCGTCAACTGACAACATACATCGTCTCGCACTCAAGTCAGCTAGAAGGCACCATATCAGATGCAAGTATTCCTATTTTATTATCTCGTGTTGCACTAGTGATGATTGTCCAACCAATGGAGAAGCTCCCAGCTTTCCCAGCTGCCTCCTGAGGACAGCATAATGAAGATTGGGAAATGGTTCATTTGTGGAAATTGAGCCACCACCGAACCATGGCTCACAATGTTGGAGAAGCAACGTTCAGGTTCCTATTTAATTCACTTGTGCGAAGGGCTTGATTCACAGCCTTATTGTGGAGTTGCCTTGTTCCCCCCCCCCACTTATATCAACTAAAAATGATTTAATATTGTTAGCCACATCTGGGCTATAACAAACAACAATAACATCATTTCGCTAGCTCCCTTCAAGCATGTCGCAACGCTGAATAATGTAGGGTTTGGTACTGAGCCGGGGGGGGGGGGGGGGAATTCAGGTGAAGAAGTAATAAGTTTATCCCAACATATTTCATCAGGGTTAAAACAAGCAAAGACTATAAAGTTCAATCAAAATATTGACATGTAAAAATAGTCGCAAGTGATTTAAAAGTGATTTAGCTCATTTAAAAAAATACCTGGACAAACAGTGAATGTGTAAGGATAAGAACCTTTTCCAAAACACTTGTGGCCAAAGGATACACAGTAGGGGGTGGCTCTGCGTTGGTCAGGATTTCTTCTGCTTGTTCTTCAATGCCATCTATATCCACTGGGGCTTCTTCGATCTTGAAGGCTGTGATACGCTGGTTTGGTATGGATTCTGCAAAGCCAAACTTCCCACCTTCCTTCCTGTTGCAGGTAAAGTTCATAGAGATATCAAACCACTGCAGCATTTGCTCACACAAAATGTTTAAGTGCCGCGTGAGCAAAGTATCATAAAAGATAACAGGTAAAAGGAGTAATTATGCTGAAAATGTAACACAAATGGTAATTATTGGAAATGCAAAACAGGCTGATTATCACCATAAAAAGATAACGTCTCAGATAGGAAGCTTTATAAAGAGTGGATAGCCTGGAGAAGCCCCTATAATAATAATAAAAGTAATCTTTACGTTTGATATAGCGCCTTCTCATGTCATTGAGACGTTTTAAAGCGCTTCACAGGATATATAAAGTGTAATGACCGTATATATTGTGGGCGAAACACGGCAGCCAATTGAGCACAGCAGCGTCCCATAAACAGTGGTGGACTGAAGTGACCAAATTATTAACTGGTCTTTTTAGACTGAGGGAGAGTAGCACCAGAACAAGAAAACGGAAACAAGGAAAACATTGTGAATTTGAAACACTAAATACATATATACACACAAAGGTGGCTAATATGTTAATGAGCATTAAAGGGCTTTACATGATAAACAGGTAATCAGACAGGAACCAGACATGACAGGACCATCAATACAAAGACAGAAACAAAACATAAAAGGCTGGAAATTACACCAGTGTTTGTCTGTAAGGCCATTTTGATTTAACATTTAGAATTGTGCACAATTTTGGAAAATTCAGTCTTCAATTTAGAAGCCATTTTTTTCAGTTTTTAAGGTTGGACTACAACAACAACATTACACTTATGGAGCACCATAAGTGTCAAGGTGCTGCAAGGTTGTGAGTTTATTGGAGAGTGCATCTATGTAGGTTAATCCATCCCATTAAGCTTCTTATAACTCTTCAAGGTTCCTACTGTCAGCAAGGAGATAAAACTAAGGCACCGTTGAGAACACAAACTTTTCTTGGGTAGTTTCTCTGCCAAAGGCTGTGAGTTTACAGCAGGGGCAGTGAGGAGCCATAAGATTGAGGCTGTGGCCTTTTCTTCAAGAAGCCACCTGAGTATCAAGTCCACTGACATCTTGGATATCTTTGAGGACCTCAAAATAAAACCGTTGTGTGTAGCTGTTGAGAATCGGCTACTGAAGTGCAAAACAAAACCACTAAAATCCCTCACCACCTGAACATCGAGACTAAAGAAGCTCTTCTAGTCCTGTATGCCAGAGGATTTCCTGGAGACTGGATTGCTACGTGAGTGCAATTTATTAGCCCTTGGATCTTTGGGAAGTGAGTTAATGCGGGCCAAGTTATCATTTTCTGAGAAGCACAGGTCAGGAATCAAACCCAGGATCTTCCACATGTGTATAATGACACAAATGAGTGCATTTCCCTACTGTTGAAAGGTGCTATACAAATGTCATTTGTTGTTGTTCTATCAGAGCGCACAGACTCCATCTAAATTTTAAAAAATGCATTGAATACAAAATAAAAAGATAGCTGTATCAAAATACTTGCCTGACTTTTTTGTCATTTTCAAGAGCTTTTTGTATTAGTTCTGTGATCTCTGCTACCTTTACACCAGCTATCTTTGTGCAGCGGAGGACCTAAAATAAAGAAACAAAATGGTTCTCATTACAAATAATCTGCTAAACAGCTAGTGCGTCCGTTCTGGAAGGAACGGACATTTGATGTAATGCACATATTGTATTTGATTGAAGAGGTGAACTAAAATAATAATCCTGGCATTTGATATAGCGCCTTATCACATCTTCGAGACGTCTCAAAGTGCTTCACAGAATAAACTGTAAAGAGAAATGACTGTATATTTTGTGGGTGAAACACAGCAGCCAATTGCGCACAGCAGCTTCCCACAAATCCCTTAGCACTTTTCAAAAAGAGAGTTTCTCCTGGTGTCCTGGCCAACAATCCTCCAAATAAAATTGGTCACGCACTCCTTGCCTGTTTGTGGGCCATTGCTGTGTGCAATTGTGCTGCCTCGTTTGCCTACAAATACAGCCACTCCATTTCACAGTAAAATCTGTGAAGGGATTTGAGACATCCTTCCTGAAGTGATAAGGCACTATACTAAATGCAAGTATTATTATAATTCTTATGTTTTTGTTGCATTCCATACAACAGAAAGGTATTGTGGTTTGAAGCACTTTACAACTCTAATGTGAAAGCTGCATTGATTCTCTTTACCAGTTATTGGTTTATGGGTTTTTGAAACATGAGCAAATGAACTTGCCGAACACTACTAAGTGCAATGAGGTTTAAATTCTACAATCTCTCAAAAATAATCTTCATTAGTTACAAACTTTACCTGCAAAAGGATGCCAAATTGCTTCAGACCATTTGAAAACTCATTTGGAAAGAACAGTTAATGCAGAAATGATGTGCTTGACAGTATATGCAGATTCATTTACACCCACTTATCTGAAGTTTAAAAATAACTTATATAAAGAAGTAAGGAGCATGTGTACTTCTCAATGTACTGACCTGATCTTTTAGAAGCATAATTCCACCACTGGACTGAATGGTGCAAAGCTCACGGTGTTTGTTCATAGCAATCACCAAAAGTCCATCCATAACCCGTTCCTCGTGTTCAATTGGATCCACCAACAGATAAGTGCTGCAAATGCACAATGATAATTTTGAAGAGTAGTTCGGAGATGTTCTTGCTACTGCGCCCCCTCTATCACTGTCCCTGGCTCCTCCCTCAGGCTTAATCCACTAGTGTATAACCTTGGCATCACCTTGCCCCTTCCCTCGCCTCCTTCAAGGTTCATCTCAAGACCTTTCTCTTTGACTGCACCTTTGGTCATCTTCTTCCCACCTCCAACCACTCAACCTTGGCCCCACCCATCCTGAATCCACCACCAGCTTGGGTGCAAATCCTCAACTGTCCTCCTGACTTGAAATGCGCGATATAAACGCAACTTGTTGTTGATGATAACCTCCTTAGCTCCATCCTCTACAAACTATTGCATCCAAACAGCCATATTCAACAACAACTTGCATTTATATAGCACACTTCATGCGTTAAGTGTCCTGGAGAGCTTAACAGTGGCGGAGTCTGACAGCGAGCTGAGGGGAGAGGGAGGTGCCCGTAAGCACGATCAAAAAGGAAGGTCTTTAGGCAGGATTTCAAAGTAGAAAGGGAGGAAGGAGGAGGGATTGAGGGAGAGAATTCCAGAGCTTCGGGGCTGAAGGCACGGCCCGATATTGGAGGCCGGAGCCAGCCGAACAGTGGGTGGTGGACTGGGGGGTAAGCAGATCGGTGAGGTAGGGAGATGCGAGGGCATGAAGGGATTTGAAAACGAGTGAGAGGATCTTGAAATCGATCCACCTAGTAATTGGGAGCCAGTGGAGCCTGGCAAGGATTGGTGTGATGAATACAGAGTTTTGTGCGGGTGAGAATCTGAGCTGCGGAGTTCTGAATTAGTTGAATTTGGTTTATGGTGGAGCTGGGGAGACCAGCGAGGAGGGCAATGGAATAGTCCAGCCAGGAAGTGATGAAAACGTAGACATGGGTTTTGGCTGGGTTGGTTGTAAATTCCCTCTGCACACTTATCAGTGCTAGGCCTCACCAGGCTCCACCCAGCTCCCAGTACTCGACAGCATCAACTTTTAAGATCTTTGTCCTGACCTTCAAATCCATTCACAATCTGGGTCCCCCCCCAACTCCTTATCAATGTAATCTGCTCCAGTATATTCTGCTCCCAACATGCTATGTTCCCTGATTTAGGTCTATTTTTCATTGTTAACTCCCTCCACCCCACCATTAATGGCCAAGCCTTCTGGTAATACACCCCTCATATTGAAACTCTCTTACAAAACCTCTTTGCCTTGCTTCGTCGCCACCTGCCTTTAAAACACTCCTAAAAACATATCTTTACAACATTATTTTTTGGTTAACATCTCCCTTCCTGGTGCTTCCTACCATATTCATAAAACACTTTGAAATATTCATCACCTCATAGAAGTGCAAGTTGTTATTTGTGCTTGGGGTTTCTAGATATTTTGTATTTTTTTTATATAAAATTAGTAGGTAGAAAACATGAACAGTGTTTGAGAACATATTCCATTTGTTTGATCCCTTTCAACTTTATCAAAATAGAGACGAAAGGACACAAATAAAATTGAGTCATTACCCACATTAAAAAAGGCAGCCAAGGAATTTGATTAAGACTTACACCTACAAAGATAGATTTGTGAACATGGCAAGAAGCTGTGGATTATGTATAAAAATAAGCGAAACCCATGAGTAAACAAGACGCCCATTTAGCGTTGGCGGCATTTCAGCAAAATATTTGGATCAGTTTATGTGATGTTCTTTTATCTTTAGTAACAGCAAAATTTTCATGAAGCACAAAAATTTCACACCGGATTTTACAGGACTTTTTCAGAACGCTAATAATAGATTATTTTAGTTTGTTAATGCAAGTCCCTGTGAAGTAGAATTAATCTTTACTCTCACCCTTGCTGGAAGAAGGCAAAGCTGACAGCAATAGGCATGTGATGGATGCTTAGTGGGATTGGATCACGCTCCTCAGGGGTATACTGGAAAAAATAAAGACATAAACTTTGAAATCATTCAAAATATTTACCAGAGAATATCATCATTTGAATTACAGATATAGTTTAATGTTTTCTCATTACTATATAGAACAATAGATTTGTTTTGGTCAGCTGTGTGCTAGAAAATCATTAAATGCTTAAGAATATCCCAACCAGTTTGGGGATCCCAGAGTGTGAGTTAGAATAACTGGCTGAAGGGAAGAAGCAGAGTAATCTTTTGGGCAAGTAGGTCGAAATGGGGGGAGAGAGGTATTAAATGGGGTTGTTCAGGGGCTTGCGTTGGACCTTACTTGTTCACTGTATACATTAGCAAATTGAATTTGTAGTAGTTAACAGTTATATTTGCAAATGACACCAAGTTAAGGCATCTGAGAATCAGAGGAAGCAAAGAGAACTCAATAGTGAATAGGGAATGAGGTATCTGGGCTGCAACCGGCAAATGGTATTCAATAAAGGTAAATACAAGGCACTGCAAAAAGGAAGTAAATGTAGGAAGTACACTTAATCCATGGATAGAAATTCACAAGGGGGAAGCAGAAAGAAACCGAGGGGGTGTTAGGTGACTCATCGATCAACATGTTTAAACAGTGTGTGGCAGCAATAAACAAGGCAATCAAGGTCCTGTGCTAATCAGCTGAATGCAGCTAAAACCATTGTCAAGCTGTAACAAGCTGTCGACAGACCGTACTTTAGAGTAAGTTCTGGTTGCTGCAAAATAAGGCAGAGACCATAGACAACAACAAGATTTCATTTATAGAGCACCTTTCACGTCGGGAGGACGTCCCAAGGCGCTGGACAGTTGAGTCAGGACTGCAATAGAGACAGGGCAATAAGAATGATCCCCTGTGTCAGAGCTATGAAAAATAATTAGATAAGCTAGCGGTCTATAATTTTGAAATAAGATGTCTTAAAGGAGATCTTATGGAGATAATATTAAATGCCAATTGGAATTGAGAAAATAATTCCAGAACAACCCTTTGAGATATGTCACAGAGCAGAAGAAAACGGCTGCGCTGTGCATTCAGAGTGTTGAAAGTCAATTTCAGATGACATTGGTAAGTATTTCCTTCCCCACAGAGGATAATTAATTAACAATTGGAACGGGTTACCAGGAAGGTTAGTAGAGATCTGAATGTTGCTTTTGTTTAAGAAATGGCTTGCTGAAATGGGGAAGATGGTAGAGTGGGTATTCTGGAAAGGTGGCACCAAATGGTAATCTATACCTCGTCACCTGCCCAATGTGAGGCGATTTTATGGCAATATCTGATGCAGAACGTCATTAAACTTGAGCAATGAAAACTTTTTTTTATCCAGGGAGTCGTCCCATACTCAGAATAGCTTAATTTGCTTGAAGAGTGTGTGCCTTCTTTTGATTCTATACAAAAAGTGCAGCAAGGAGCATGTTGGAGGAGTTTGACATTTCTTTGTGCTTTATGCATTAGCGATGGGACTATAAACTACCGGGTACAGAGGTTGAGAGCTAATTTACTACTATATGAGATAATTTACTCTAATCAACTGAACAATACTCCTATTATACACAGCGCCATTCATTAAATATTTACTTTTTTTAAAAATGTATTCATTTGCCAATTAAATAAAAGTTAATAACAGTCTCTAACACTTACCACAGTGACTTCTTCTCCTTGGATAGAGACGTCAGGTCTTCTGAAGTGAGACAATGAAACTATGGCTGCTATACTTGCTGCATCAATAATGTTGCCATCGTGGTTTAGCAAATGCAAGTCTACCCGAATCTGCCACACCTAGTCAAGGGAGGAAACGGAACAACCTTAGTAACACACTGAGTTTCACCAGACACACACCACGATGATGGGGCAGTGAATTCAACAACAACAAATTACACTTGTACAGCGCCCTTCACGTCGTAAGGACGTCCCAGGCTGGACAGTCAGGGGTTTTTGGACCCGAGCTGTGAGTTGAGGTCAGGAGGGATGGAGGGCAGGCGAGGTGGAGGTGTGGCTGAATTTCACTCTTAAACTAATATTAAATATTAAACTTATTTCACTCGCCACTTTCGTCAAATGAGATGAGAGTTGAATGTTAGCACAAATTAAATTAATAAAAAAGGAACCGTTAGCCAGTTAATATAACGACAAGCTTATTAAAACATACAGCTGGAGGAGCACTGCTGAATAGGAATCAAACAGGTCAATGGATGGACTGCATCTGGAACTATAGAAATATTAAGCCACCTTAGGACCATTTCTATCAGCCCACACATCCTTAACATCCTTCTTCTCAACACTGCATAACTAGCGAGACCTGCAGAGGAGAGCAATAATAGCAATGACAGTATCTTACATACCCATTCTAGTGCATGCTACTGCAAACACTGTAATGGACAAAGGCTTTCTCCAATGCAATGTGAAGTGAATTCAAGAGGAATTCAATACTTTCTGCCCTCCAACCAGGACCAGTACATCCCGTCAGACAATCTTGGCTTCTTAAATACAAAGCACTACCCAAGCATGTAGAATTATCTCATCCATTCAACATTTCAATACATGTCCCTATATCATTCTCTAAAGAAAAGGTACTGTGAACTAATGTTTGATTCATTTTTCCCAAAAGCCAATTTATTTTATATAATAATCCTTGCATTTGGTATAGTGCCTATCATGTCAGAAGGAATTCACGGGATATACTGTAAAAGTGGATTGACTGTGTTTTTGTAGGCAAACGATGCACACATTATCAGACAGCAATGTCCCACAAACAGTCCTGAAACGAGTGACCAATTTTATTTGGAGGATTGTTGGGAAGGGCATCCTTCTCTTTTCAATTGAAATTAAAATTAAAGTTTCAATTTAAAAGAGAAGGGAAAAAAAGCATAATGAAATACATGCACAGTTTCTACATCCATCACAGTGAGTCTTCATACCTTTTCACCTGCAACAACGCACAGGGATTCTGTATCGATGCACTTGGAGTTCCTTAGACATCGTTCCAACAATCGGTTCAATTTAACTAACAACTCGGATTGCCTGTAAAGGGGAAAAAACAGAAAACAATATTTAAAGAAAAAATTCACTCAGGATTCGTTTTGACCAAATAACAGCATTATCTTTTGAAATACCACGGTTTTAACAAATAGTGATGTGCAGTAAAAGGATAAACAAATCATAATAATAAATAATAATAATCCTTGCATTTGATATAGCACGCTATCACGTCTTCGAGAAGTCTCAAAGAATATACTGTAAAGTATAGTGACTGTATATTTTGTGGGTGAAACTCGGCAGCCAATTACATACAGCAGTATCCCACAAACAGTCGTGGATTGAGTGACCAAATTATTATTTTTTATTGAAGGGATTATTACCCCGGGAATATTTTGTAATGATGATATTGGGAAAGAACAGTTTGATCTGACAGTGGGGAACAAGCGACAATAACTCTTTAAAATTCTGTTATTGACCAGTTCAGAATTCACTGCGCACCACTCTTCACCATTTCATTTTATATTTCCAATATTATATGTACTTTTCAATAGTTGATAAATACAACAAGCGACATCATAAACTAATATTAAACAAATGAATACTGGAAAGCAGCTCATTAATCTTAACATTAAGTATGCAATATGGTTACAAAGATCTAAACATCATTCAACATCAGAATGTACACAAGGATTTCCACAAGCAACAATACAAAACAAATGCATTTCCAGTTTTAAAAAAGTTAACTTTGAGACTGCCAGTAAATCCTCAGAGAGGCTGTGAAGATCTTTCCACGCTCACAAACTACAATCGAGTCCTTATATTTCAAATGAATTATCCTTCTGACTCAGAGGAGAGAGTGCAACCAACTGAGTCTCTGATGAGACACCTCTTATCTCCCACCACCCCCAGGAGGATAAATATTCCCAGTGATACATGGGAACTGGACCAATTTACACATTAAATCAAATGAGAATATGAATCCTAGTCCTTAGAAGCACACCCAAATTCCAAAGAATACAATATTAGTGTCAAAATGAGAAAGCAGAAAAGTGTTCACGGTGATACTCCGTAGCCGTGCGAGTTGCTTGACTAACCTGCCGGGTTCAAATGCAGGAGAAGCCATTGGAGAGAGCTCCAGGTTGAAGAATATGATGCCTTCAGTGGGCCGATTCAACTTAGGGGTCACCAGTTCACACGACACCTGTGAAAGGACCCTGAGATGACAGCATAATAAGGCTATGTCACACTCCTTTTAATTTTACAACACAAACAGCTCCACAGATTGATCAATGTCTAAGACGAAGTACCTATTTTGATGATTCCTACTTTAATGGGACCCATTTTCTTAAAATGATAAATGGTCTCTTTAAAAAGGATTATGTATCAGCTATACGGAAACACAAAATTAACAAAATCATTAACCATTAACATAAACAAATTACATCTCTATAGTGCCTTTCACGTCTGGAGGATGTCCCAAGGTGCTGATCGCTTTCCTTTAAAAATCTTAAAAAAGTTTTATTTTTCTGGCGCTCTCTACAACTTATTTCAGCGTCTGGACAAGCTGAGCAGATGAGTGATGGTGAAAAGCTTTAGAACTGCTATAGGAGGAGAAGAGAGGGGGAGCTTCATTCACTCAGGCTGGCAGTGGGCTATTGCCACAGGGCTCATAAAACTACCCAACACTGTCAATAAAGTAATATTAACTGCTTATTTGACTCCCGACGCACCATCCACAGAGGAATTTACTTTCTGCAAAATTAACAGAAACCCAGCGATGTTGATAAATAGACATCTTATATGGGAGTATGCGTTTTTTTTTAATGAAACGGCTCAGATTGAATGAAGAGTATTTTACTGTGTGAAGTCTGACCGCCTCACCTTGTTTTACCCAATTCCACAATGCAACAGCCATATTCAGTTCCAAATGTTATCTTAATGTTCCTGTAGTCGTACGTCTGTCTTCCATCGAGTCGCTGCAGATTTTAAAAGACGGCCACAATTAATCAGTTAGACTACAATCTGACTTTGGTGTTTAAATAATACAGTAAAGTTCAGTTGTGTTTGTGGTCAATAAAGATTGGGCTTCGGAGATGCATTTCAAGCAGATCGGCCACGAACACAAAACAGAGATTATTTTCTCATCCAAAAAAAAGTTCATATACTCTATTTTTTAGCACTACCCCCATCCCCCCCACACCGTCCTGTCGGGGGGAGGGGGTAGGGGGGGAGGAGGGGGGGGTAGGGGGGGGGGGCACCGTCCTGTCGGGGGGGGGGGGGGAGGAGGGCGGGGGGGCGCACCTTCCTGTCCGGGGGGGGGGAGGAGGGGGGGGAGGGGGGGGCGCACCTTCCTGTCGGCCACGGGAGGGGGGCGGGGGAGGAGGGGGGGGGCGGGGGAGGAGGGGGGGGGCGGGGGAGGAGGGGGGGGGTAGGAGGGGGGGGCGGGGGGGCGCACCTTCCTGTCGGGGGGAGGAGGGGGGGGAGGGGGGGGCGCACCTTCCTGTCGGCCACCGCCTGGAGGATGAAGAGCTTCTCACAGTTGGACAGCGGCGTCTCCCTCATCCTCCTCGCGCTCCTCCCGCTCCGGCCGCCACCTGCCGTCGCGCCCTCTGTACGTCATCAGCGAGCGACGATGGCTCAGACCGCCCTCCCGACCACGTGGCACACTCTGCTCACGTGACCCCACTCCCCCACTCCCCGCGGGCGCTCGGTCAGGTTGGGCGGGTTCCCGCCCAATTGGGCGTTTTTTTCTGTTGCTCCTGAGCATGAAAGCTCAGCCTGGGGGCTGTGCCTGGTTTATTTTTAAAATGTTTTAACTTTTAATGATGCAAAACGTGCCCACACCCCCTTTGCAGACAGTTGATTCACCTGGACCTTCTCTGCCACAAAACACACAGTCACTCCATCCAATATAATAATAATAATAATAATCCTTGCATTTGATATAGCGCTTTTCACGTCTTCTCGACGTCCCAAAGCACTTCACAGAATAGACTGTAAAATGAATTCACTGTACATTTGTGGGCGAACGCGGCAGCCAATTGCGCACAGCAATGTCCCACAAACAGTCGCAGATTGAAAATGACCAATTTATTATTGTTTTGGTTTTGGAGGTTATTATTAGGCTCTGTGTGGAGTGAGGACACTGCCCGAGGTCTCGCCCTGACTGACCCCCCGGGGATTGAACCCGGTGTCTCACTCACAAAGCGAGTGCTCTAACCCCTGAGCTGCAGGACTCCACATATATCCTGTGAACCACTTTGAGACGTCTCAGAGATGTGATAAGGCATGATATCAAATGCAAGGATTATTATATTATGCACAATACAGTGATGCATATGGATGCATACATCGGAAAGAGCAAAAAAAAGCGCAGACATTCATTGAGTCCTGGGATAATTCTCACATTCCATCTCCTGCCCAACCCGCTAACTGTAGTTGTCTGTTCTTGTCAGACACACAGTCACCTTCAACAAAAATCAAAAACCATAAACCATAAAGAAGATTCACGGGGTGGAAGCCACTGTAGAAAATTCTTCCCTGGCTCTTGACAGTCAAAATGAGCTCCAGGAGAGGGCAGCAATACAGTAAATTTGTTCACTCGATCCATAATTGTTTGTGGGACACTGCTGTGCGAAATTGCCTACTACGTTTCACTCTCACAATATACAGTAAATTCACTTTATGGTATATTTTGTGAAGTGCCTTGAGACGCCTTAAAGATATAATATAAGGTGCAAATCAAATGCAAGGATTATCATTGTTAAATATTATATATTCCACTCATTCCACCGCGGAGAACCGGCTCAGACCTTCAATGAGGACAGAGTTCAGCGAGGAAGCACCTGCTGGGGGCTGGGCTGGTGTTTACCCAGGTCTTTTCTGCCTCTGAGAGATCACGGATTGCTGTTGTTGTGGATAAAGTAATTAATAATAATAATAATCATAATAGTAATCCTTGCATTTGGTACAGCACATTATTCATGTCCTTCAGACGTCTCAAAGCGCGGCACAGAAATATAGTGTGAAGTGGAGTGACTGTTTATTTTGCGGGCGAAGTGTATATTGAAAGGAGGCGAAGAGTTCGACCAAGTACCGCAAAAGAAAAAAAAAAATGCAGAAGCCAGAGCGAACTCTGTAATGCAAAAAGCACAGCAGAAGGGCGTCGGAGTTTATCAAAAGGCAATTTTTAATAAATCTTGCCTTGCTGTCAGTCACATAATGAATAAAGAGCTGCTGGTTTTAATTAAAATGGGAAATCATTTGGACCCGATGATGGAGACATGACTAAGAGCAGCACTCCAGAATGTTTACTTATTGTTCAATTGAAGCAGACATTCGCTCTCTGGATTAAGTTGTGTTTCTGTATTCTCTAGTCCAGTTACTGCTGCTGATTTGTCAGGGATGAGACTACATATTAAACAACAATTAAGTACGTCAGCCACCCTCGAATTGATAGCTCTCTCGCCTCTGAGTCTAAAGGTTGTGGGTTCAATCCCCATGTAGAGCGTTTGGAACTCATAAGGTTTATGCTGAAGCGTCATCGAGAGCTGGGAGGCTTATTACATTGTTGGAGGCACCATCCTCCAGATGAGCCATTAAACTGAGATCCTGTCCTGACTGGTGGATGGTAAGGATCCTGTGACACTATTCAAAAAGAGAAGGGAGTTTCTCTCTCTCTCTCTCCCGGTGTCCTGGCCAACAATCCCTCAAATAAAATTGGTCACTCGCTCTATGGTTGTTTGTGGGACATTGTTGTGTGCAAATGGCTGTTGTGTTCGACCACAAAGTACACACACTCGCAGTACATTACAGTATATCCTGTGAAGCGCTTTGCGACGTCTCGATGTTGTGGTAAGATACTATATCAAATGTAAGGATAATTATTAATAATATGTGCAAATCACAATCAATGTTGTTTATTTGTTTATTAAGACAAACATTATATGGAATGCCATTTGTTCTTGTCAAGTAAGTGATGTGTATGGAGTCATTTTCTGTGCAAGACTGCGTAACCTGCTGCTTTGTAAAAATGTATTTATGCTTAGAAGTAATCTTTAGAGATATTTCATTATTACACCATGTGGGTTAGCAGCTGTAGCTAACTTACTAGATATTCAGTCAGTATTCTGTTCACTACTGATTTATAAAGTAAAATACTTCTGCGAAAGAAACATAATTGTAAAATAGCAAAGAAACTAAATCATTCCAACCTCAGCTATACTCTTGTGAACTCTACTAGGATTTACTTATGTGTGGAGATTAGATCAAGAATAGAATTCGTGTCAGCGCAGTAAAATACAATTGACATTTATGTAGTACTTTTCATATTGGGAGGAAGTCTCACAGGGCTTCAGGGACACTCACTGTCCAGCCTTACACACGATAAGGAAAGCAGATACCATCAGATTTGTCCCAGTGTGAAACTATAAAGAGGAAAGAAAGTCTGTTCAATGTGCTCCTTCAACTAGAGTAGAAATAAAATTCATCACAGCAATTTACTATGACTCTGGAGTGAGGCAATCTCAGTTTTAGAAGGTCCCTGAAACCCACCCTCAGCTGCTGGGAAACACCTGTGGATGTTTCAGAGCTTCCTATTTAATTGAATGGGCCTGGAGTTGTGGGTCGGCACTATGTGTACTGATCTGGAGCTTCCCAAATGCAAGATAATGCAACTACCAGTCAGTAACATGCTAACGCGACAGTACTTTCCAGGGTTTGCTCATAGGCTCTGCAAGACACTGGCCAACAGCAAGAAGGTACATCCAGGTTTGGTTCACATTCATCTTTCTGAGTCAGGAAGTTGTAGGCACAAGCCACAAATCTGAACGTTGAATTCATGTCTAAGATAACATTCTAATGCAGAGCTGGTGGAGTGCTGATTTGTTGGAGGTGTCACCCTTTGGATTAAGTGCTAAACAGAGGCTCTGTCTATCTCTTCAGGCGGATGTTAAAGATCACATGGCATTATTTGAAAAGAGAAGGGGGTTTCTCCAAGTGGCCTGGTTCACAATCCTCCTGATAAAATTTTACATTCACCTCATGGTGGTTTTGTGGGTCATTGTTGTGTGCAAATTAGTTGCTGCGTTTGATTCAAAATACAGTCACTATACTTTACAGTAAATCCTGTGAAATACCTTAACCTGCTTTAGCAATGTAAGAAGATGCTATAATAAATTTAAATAAATCTTAAAAAAAATAATGGTTTTGCAATTTTCTCCCCTTTTCTTCGCTCTGTCTGAAGGTGCTGAGTCTATTCTAGTGTATGATTCAATTCTGCATTTCCCCTGCAAAATATACAATCAATCCACTTTATGGTATATTCTGTGAAGCACTTTGAGACGTCTCAACGACGTGATAAGTTCCTATATCAAATGCAAGGATTATTTGTTATTATATGCCTGTCTACCTCCTTGAAAGCTCTAATGGATTCCTCCTTCACCACCCAACTTGTCGGGATGTTCCACATCCCAACTACTCTCTGGGTGAAAAAAATCCTCCTACGCTCTTCTGATGTTCTCGCGGCTATCTTATAATTGTGTTTCCTAGTCACAGACTCCCCATCAATGGAAGTACCTTCTCCCAATTTATCCTGACAAAATCCCTCCTAATTTTGTAAATCTCTCTCAGATTCCCCCTCAACCTTCTCTGCTCCAATGAAAACAGACCTAGCCTCTTCCATCTCTCCTCATTGCCATCGTTCTTCATCCCTCATCCTTGTAAACCTCCCTTTAACAGCGTAACATCTTTCGCAAAGTGAGCTGCATAAAGTACTCTAGTTACGACCTAACCAATGATTTAACAAACTTAGCGTTATTGCTTTGCTTTTGTATTCTATGCTTTCGTATATTAGCAATTGGATCGAAACAATTGCTTTTCCTTCTCCAAACAGGTACTTGGATGTTTCCACCATTTGTAAACAATATATTTTCTTATGGAGAAAAATGCCCATTGTTTGATGAACCTATGAGTGATTGTAACATGCTGGCCTCTGGTTTTCTTTGTTGTTTTTATTCCTGATTTTTTTTTGCATCATTTAAGTCCTGGTTTGTTTAATGAAATAAAAACTTTATTTAAAAAAAAAGGATAATAACTAGGGAAGTGGGGAAGAAAAATGTTCCCAGATGGTTGTCAGAAAATGGAATGAATTGTTAGGGTAGCTGTTGAAACTGTTAGGAGCATTTGAAAGGAAATTAGATGCGCACATAATGAGAGGAGGTCCCCAAGTACTTAACAACAGTGATTTGCCAACAGAGTTGGGGTTGGGAACTGAGGGTGTGTGGGTTGGGGAAAGATGACTGAAAGCGTGGTCAGACAGGTAGGTTTTGAAAATGTAACTAATGAAGGTTTAATTTATATTCAGTTGATAAATGTATTAATGTAAATGAAGCTTATTATAGATATGTGCAAATAAAATTTTTAGGATTCCAAAGCATCTTAATACTCACCAGTTGGAACATAGAACCCTATAAAATTGCAAATGGAGAAGAAAAATAAGTTCTGTTCAGATTTCTATTCTCTTCAACAATTTATGTCAGAATTAGGTAATATATTAAGCAAAAGAACGATACCAGGTTAGGAAGCTTTCCTGCAAAGTGGAAAGTTTTACTGAAGTGCTATATTGATGGATTCTGCTTAGAGGGGATTG